GAGCAATACTTCCTTGCAATGTATTGGTGTGGCCTATAAAACACAGGGTGGGCCACTTTTCTCCTGCATTCCTTTGGGAGTAATCTGCGAGGGGTGGGGCAGGAGCTCAAAGGGACAAAAGTGGAAAAAATGGGTGGGTCCACTCCCCGTTTCTCTCTCTCTCTCCTTCCAGTGCCCCCTTCTCCTCCCTCCTTCCCTGGTGGGCCATAAGGAGACAGACTTCACTTGTCAGAGGTCTGAACTGCTTGCCTGCAGAAGGCTGTTGAAATTAGGTGCCGGTTGTCCACACTTTATCTCCATGGAGTAACATAAATGCAAAGCAAGCCAGGTCCCTCTGCTGAGATACTGACAATTTAATTTCTGATGCTAGAGAACGGAAACGATTGCATCCAATGACACTGTCCTCCTGGAGCAAGGTCTTCTGTCTGCATAATGGGGCTTCTTCTCCCTCTCAGTGGTGCCTCCCCACACACCCTCCAGAGCAGATTCTGGGAGCGTGCTGGGCAAGGAAGTCCCACCACACTGGTGGAAGTCCTTGCACTAATGGGACAACTTTGTTGGATGCAATCCAAAGATAATAAATGGGATGAACCTAAGCAAACACCGTTCCTAGTACTTGGAGATGAGGGCATACCTAGAGCCCAATTCTGTACGTGTTTACTTGCGATGAAACTCCAGTGAGCTCAAAGAGCCTTAATCCCAAACTTAGAAGAGCCTATTGGACCACATAGCCCTGCATCCTGTTCACAGTAGCCAACAAGATGCCTGTAAGAAACCCTCAAGCAGAATCTGAGTGCAAGAGCATCTTGCCTATCTGCAAATAGCCCAGCAACTGGTATCGAGAGGCCTACTGCCTCTGACAGCATAGCTTTATCCCCCATGAACTTGCCCAATCCTACTTTAAAGCCATCCAAGTTGGTGAGATTCACTACCCCCTTCAGGAGTTCCATAGTTTTAACTACACACTGTATGAATAAATACAGTGGATGCTCAGGTTGCGAACGTGATCCGTGCGGGAGGCACGTTCACAACCCACAGCGCCGTGTCTGCGCATGTGCAAAGCACGATTTAGCGCTTCTGCACATGTGCGAACGCCGAAACCCAGAAGTAACCTGTTCCAGTACTTCCAGGTTTGACGCGGTGCGCAACCCGAAAACACACATCCTGAAGCATCTGTAACCTGAGGTATGACTGTACTTTCTTTTACCAAAGAGGTCCTTTAATTTCTGCCCATGATGCCTACTTTGCTGCTAATACCTGAATAATAATAGCATTTTCCACACAACACTCAAAATGACCTTTGAGTTTCTGTTGTAGTACAGAAAGTCGCATGTGAATGCTCCTCTCTGTGCCAGGGAGAAAGCTAGATGAGAGCTTCTTAAAGACCCCTCTACACATTATAAATGAACACCAAAAGAGGTGGGAAAATACAAAGGAACTTTGAGCATCATGTTTTAAAAGACCCTCAACTGTCTCCGTCCATACACTGAAAGATGTGTGCGTGCATATATAAAGTGATTAAAGTAGGAAAGAGTTTCCAAGCATTTAAGCCATTTTTAAACGAAACCCTGTGCAAAAGAAGATCACCACGCCACTCACCGCGGAGAGGCAAGCCCTGCCTCCAGGAAAGCCCACCCACCCACCCACACCCACCTCAGCCAAGGACGACCTACTTTTCAAAACAGGCCGTAATGATCAGAGAGACACCAAGCTCTGAGGTCTCTCTTAGGCACAGGTGCAAGGAACTCTGCTTGCCCGGGAACAAAATATGTATACACACTCCCTAGAAGCAGCAAAGACGAAGCAGCAACACTCACAGCTACACTTATGTAATAGGAGAATGTGCCAATCTACCTGCCAAGCTCAGCCACTGCCATGAGGTCTCTCCATGTAATGCCCAAACGTGCAACTGGACAAGAGAGAGGATACTGTTGTTGTTTACTGGTAGGATCTGATGGTTAAAAGAAGCCAACAATGGAGGGAGGTGGGAGAAGGGACTCACTCATGCATAGGCATTGCAAATCATTTTACACACACACACACACACACACACACACACACACCAAATAAAAGGCAATCAAAAGCTGTCCACATTTCCTGTTCCGCTTTCGACTAGCTTTGCAGTAAGGGGCTGCCATGGAAGGAAGCGTCATAACATTCCCCCCCCCAGAGGCCGCCTAATCTCCGAGTGCTACTGGTGGTAGTCTCTGCCCAAGGGGGGGGGCTGGAAGAGAGCGAGCGAGATCGGGGTCATCATAGCTACTGGCACGGAATTTACACACACACACACAGTGTGTGTGTGTCTGTGTGTGTGTATAATGCGCGAGAGCACAACCTGCCCACCTTTTCCCCCTCCCACGAGCACGCCTCCCACGCAGAAAGAGGGAAAGTGGCATCCCAGGCGAAGTGACTTGAGTTTCGAACGCTTTTTTATTAAAACTATAATGAGAAACAGCAGGTTGCGCTGGCGCTCTTACCAAATTTGTGTGTGTGTGTGCGCGCGCGCACACACACACAAACGATGGGAGATGGAAAGCAAAGGAATGGACCCTCATTAAGTAACCAGGGAAAGTTTTACTCCTCCGCATTCTCGCAGAACAAAAGAGACGCTAAAGGTTCCCACCCGCCCCCTCCATCCCATCGCCGCCGCGACCATCAGCACTTCCTGCTCACTAATGCCGCCCGCCCCCCACCGGCGCCCCGCTAAGCTCCTGCGTGCACATCGGGTGGGTGTGAGCGCGCGATCTGCCCGCGATGGTAGGAACTGGTTCCTCCTCATGGCTTTGCCCTGACGTAATTCAAACATGGCAACAGTTCCGACTTCAAAGCGGGATCGGCGAGACCTCCCATAAACACGCGCCACGAGGGGAGAGCAAAGCGCGCTCTAACCCCGCACAGATGCACAAAAGCGTGTACCAATAAGGCAAACGTGACATCTATTCCTTCCAGCTCTCTCACTTTTCCAGTTAATTAATGACCGAGCGACATTACAGCCCGGGACAGGCAGCAACTAGAGCGTGTGTTTGCTCCAACACTCCGCTCAGTCCCTCGAAGGCGCTTCCTGCCTCTGAGCCACCTAAACACGCCTCCTCCTCCGCCGCCTCCTCTTCCCTGCACGCGGCTTGGTACCTTGCACTGGGGGCGCACGCAGTATCTGAAATTATTTTTTAAAGTCCTCAAGAAGCAGCTGCAACCTCGTGCGTATTTCTCTGCTCCGATTTCGGATGCAACACGGTTCGTGCGTGTTTATGTGTCGAAGGGATAGAAAGCAGCGCTGCTGCCGCCGCCTCCCCCCCCCCCGCCCCGCCTCTCGCGCGCCGCGCCGTTTGCAAAGCCCAGCAGCCACATGCTCTATATAAGCCCTTTGTTTTGCCTACATGCGGCAAACAAGGTAGTAGCCGGGGCTGTTTGCTTCCGCGGAGTGGAATTCGAAAACAAAAGATTACACTTATGAGACGCGCGGGAAAGGGAGGAAAAGTTCCAGGTCGACTTTAAAGGAAAACAAGACTCGTATTGCACGGCGGCGCGGGCGGGGAGGGGCGGATGTGCAGCGAGGCGACTCTTAAAAAATAAAAGTTCCGATCAAAGTTGTATACAGTACTTTTAAGAGTGTCTGCTTTGAAAGTGGCAGGATACACCCCCCCTTTCCCAGGCCGCATTACCACCCACCCAACTCAGATGGTTAATGACATGGTAGTCTGATAAACAGCTTTTTAATTTTTTTATATTAAAAAAACCCGCGATTAACACCACAATCCTAACCATGTCAACTCAGAAGGAAGTCCAGTTTTGTTCAATAAGGATTACCCCCTGGTAAGTAGCTTTAGGATTGCAATTTTAAACGACTTGCGTAGCTTGGAGCACGTGTCATGACAGATTGCACAAAAACAAAAGATCCCTTCGTTACAAGCAACTCAGTTGCGGCTGAAACTGGAGTCACCTCTAAAAGGCATGGGCAAACCACCCCAAGGGTAACCCGCCCCGCCTCTGTCCTGCTGTCTTTCCCATTCCTCCGAGGAAACATACCCCGACACCGCCATGGCTGTTACCCGCTTGCCATGCAACGCGGTGCAACTTTCCCCTCGCGGAATCGATCTACAGGTGTATCACTCGCAGAAAGGAACACGGACCCCGGGGAACGTTCGGAAATGGAACGCCCGCGTCGCCAACATTCCAAACCTCGCCTCGAATCCTAAGCCGGTTTAGCCGACCTCGAGGGATTTGTTGCAAACCTTATTCCCCCTCCCCCTCCCTTTTGCTTCCCATTGTCGCCGGTCCCGCGTCCATAGCTGTAACGGACAACACAAATCTGACCGCCGCCAACACGCCGTGCACAGCAAATTGCTGCCCCAAATCCCACATGTTATTACTCGGAAGTAGAAACCCATTAACTTTCATTCCACTGTGAAGGGTAGCCGGGATTGCAGCAATCACCTCGCTTCCTTTCTGTTACGAGAGAGGAGCGAACAAACAACTTTTTTAAACTGGGAACTCCCCGCTCCGGGGCCCGACCGCGGTCCAAAGCACTAACTGCATTAAAACACCCAGGGATTTCCAAGTTCTCTTGACGATGGGGTCGAACAAACCGGAATAAATTGGGAGGGGTAGTGGAAAAGATAGAGAAACTCATCCTACAACTGTTTTCCTTCATGGGGGGCTGGAGTCGCCACTCCGCCACATGCTCGACCTACAACAATACAAGCAGCGTTCCGCTGCCCCCGTTTCTTCCGCCACAGGATACATCTCCAAATTGCAAAGCATTCCAGAGAATAACGCCAGCTACACACCGTCTCACCTACAAACACCCCCCTTACATGTATATACGACATCCTCTTGATAACTAGTTTGCTTGCAGAAAGGCAGGTTAATTTAAAAATTTAAAACGCACAAATAAAGAGCACAAAACTTGTCCGACCCCGCTCCCCATGTTTCAGATGTACGGCTACTATTTTAAATCTATATTTCCCAACTGGAAACGACGAACATTTAAAAGGATTTACCTCCAACGAATCAATAGCGTGCTGGGTTGTGCGGAGCGATCTTCCTCCCCCCTCCTCCTCTGCGCGGTCTCGTTGTCTCGCTCCTGCGTCTGGAGAGATGCAAGCTCTGGAGTCATTGGCTTAACTTCCAGGCGGTGTGCGCATGCGCGGTTCCCACGACTCCGTACTCCTCAATCGAGCTCTTTTGCATGCGCGTACCATTGTCCTTTTAAGGGAGAAAAGGGCCGAGCGAAAAGCATGGGAAGGAAAAGCACGGGGGAGGTCCTGGTCATTGTGACGCCAGAAGTGACGTTGCACGCACGCGGGGCTAGATTTGCGGGAGGGAGATTCTAAGAGAAGCTAAGGAAGGAACGTCTCTTGCTGCAGTTGCTCATCTTCTTGTAGGGCAATGAATGAATGAGCTCGCTTCCCTTTCTCAGCCCATTTTCTACCCTTCATGCACAGATGCGAGGCTTCAAGGTTTGGTTTGGAATATGAGCGCACCAACGCTTCCTGTGTAGGATTTCCTCCCGGATACACACCGGCCATCACTGAGCAAGTGTGATTCTCCTGTAGCCCCCCCTTCAGTCAATGATGAGGTCCATTTTGCCTTAGTTTCATAACAGTCACAAGCTCCCAGCCTTCTCACTTAGGTGTGGCGTGGCGGCTGAAGTGTTGGGACCTGGGATTCCGGCTCAGCCAGTGAAGCTCACTGGCTGACCTTGGGACAAGTCAATCCCTCGGACCAGCCTACTGCATAGGGGACAATGGGCAGACCATGTGTCACCTAGAGCTCCTTGGAGGAAAGGCAGGATGCAAATGTAATAAAATACATAATTGTGCATGTAGGCAAGTAGTGTTGGAGCACAGACTTTGGATATCTAATTAATAGCTGCCAGTCTGTGACATTGGTCACCCAGTCCTGATTCACGGTCTCTTAATTTTAATATCAAGAAGAAACCATTTCTAAATGTAGATCTAGCTAGCTAGCTATTTCAAGTCTCCTGTCTACTAGCATCATACAGTCGCTTCACCTGTTCTGCAGCAGGTACATTTGTGAAACACGTTTGCCAAACAGGAGTTTAAAAGCCCCTTGGGGCACAAAGAACTACCTGCCCAGTCTGGCCATCAAAAGCGTTGCATACAGACTTCAAATTCTACCAAAACTATCTAGAGCTGAAGTCATACCAAATAAACTGAGATGGTTGATGCTTTATTATCACTTGTGCTTCTAAAGTGTGCATTTCCTTTAACAACTCAGTTGATTAAGAGCATGGTGCTGATAATGCCAACGGATAGGGTTCGATCCTTGTATGGGCCACCTGCATATTTCTGCATTGCAGTGGGTTGGGCTAGATGATCCTCTGGGGTCCATTTCCAACTCAACAATTAAATCTTTCCAACAAGTATTTTCATGTCCACTACCAAGAATTGCTGTTGTTTTGGTGGTGGGAGAAGTCAACCTGGTTACTTTATCACAGCCAGCATGTTAAGTAGGTGGGTGGGGAAAGTGTGATTACTGTATTTTTTGCTCTATAAGACTCACTTTTTTCCTCCTAAAAAGTAAGGGGAAATGTGTGTGCGTCTTATGGAGCAAATGCAGGCTGCGCAGCTATCCCAGAAGCCAGAACAGCAAGAAAGATCGCGGCTTTTGCTGCGTAACAATCCCTCTTGTTCTGGCTTCTGAGATTCAGAATATTTTTTTCCCTTGTTTTCCTCCTCCAAAAACTAGGTGCGTCTTATAGACCGAAAAATACGGGACTTTGGAAAGCAAGGACAAGGAGACTTGTGGGCAAGAGATAAGGAGTAAATCCCAGTGAATGCAGTGGAGTATACTTCTGAGTAGATGTAAAGGATTGCAGTCTCTTAAATTTCCAAACGTGCCCACTGGTCCAAAAAGGTTGGCAGTCCCTGACAGACAGGTTTGGAATGCATGCTAGTTACAGAAAACTACGGTATTATTGTAACTATAACATGGATAGGTAGGGTTTACATAAATTGTGAACAATTAACTGCAGAGATTTTCCTGTTGGCTTTTATTCTGGAACATGGAGTCCAGCCTAGTTTACATTATGTTTAAAAAAATGAAATTCGAGCAGAAAAAGCAAATTTAATGCAACCATTAAAATCTAAACACCACTTTTTAAAGGCAATTGCACTTAGTAGGTAGCAGACCAATTCTACAAGCATCATCAGCTTAATGGAAAATTAGACAAAAGTAAGACTGTGTTTAAATATTAGGCAGCCTTTTGGTCAATCAACCAGTCAAATATTACAAGACTGCCAACCCTAAAGACTTGCAAATAAAATTCAAAGTGAGAAGTAATAGCAAAGCTAGGGTACAAGACGCCTTTTGTTCAGCTGGTATTACTTCTGCAATATTTTCCACTTTGGTCTGGTGCAGACTACTTCACAAAAGTAGTAACTGGTAACAACACAACCAAACTTGCACTATGTCAATTAACAACTGTAATGGGAAGGAAATTACTGTCTCTATTCATGCCCAAATGGATTGTCTGCATTTGCCATTTTAACCCCTTCACCCTCTAAATATACCTGCCTATTGTTTCATATGCTGGCATCTTCCATTTTGTGTACATGACAAAGCCAGCGTAGACGTCGCTGTGACAGGAGTGCAAAGATGCCAGGCATATGGACTTGGGAGAACACATCTTTGAGACTCTGGACAGTAGAAAATGAACTTAATGGGCCTAAACGAGAAAAATAAATATTGACAGCATACCCCAATCCCTAAAAATAGTGTTGATGCTATACCTCCACAGTTCAGCCTATTAAATTCTACAAAGTATTTTTATTTTATTGGCCTTAATTAAAATAAAATATAAGAACAATAATTTCCATAGCATCCGATACCCGCAGGTCTCAAGGTGGGTTTATCTCAAGATAAAATTACAATATAAAAACACAAAATACATAATCAAAATATAAACGGAAACAGCCAAATAACCCCCCCCAATGAAGCATCACATAACACATTGTTGTTCTCAGTTTTATTTGTAAATACCATTGCATGAAAAGCTGCATTTAATAGTAATCCAAACCCTGGAAAAAAAACACCCACGTCAGTTTGTGATATGTATGCTAAAGTGCTTGAAATAACAATACTTTTACTGATATTCACTTCCTGAACATTATCCAGTCCTGATTAATTTATGAATAACGTGAAGATAAAACAGCAACATATTCTGAAGATATTTAAGGGTGGGGGCAGAAGAAGTTCTGTAATAAACTCTGTCAGGTATATTTATACATTTCAAGTGTAACACACGACGTTTCCTTATGAGAAATGCACCTTCACTTGATTGGGAAGAGGAAAATCAATGTTAATTATGTCACAGCACCACCTCTTAAAACTTGCTCTAAACAAAAAAGCAGCTAACAGCCCCATCCCAAACATGTTTACTCAGAGATCAATCCCAGTTAAAAAATAATGGCATTTACCTCCAAGTAAATGGGCTGCTAAAGTGTTAATTAGAAAGATGAAGTGGTGGGGTTTCCTCTGCTCTGAGACAACCATGTTCTGGTTTGCCTCAAAGACCCATAAACTGTGTTACATTATTGATCTACTTTGCAATTCTACTTCATAGCTTCAAATGTTCTTACTATGTTAGCTTAGCAATGCTATAAAGAATGTACAGTGCTTCGAGAGCCGCTGTTCCTGAACACAGAATTTTTACTTGGTAAGTTACCAGAAAGCCTTAGTTGCCTTAAAAAGTTGAGTTTCTCAAAATCAACAAAAGCTCATTAATACTGATGTTCAAAAGGTACATTAAATTCCAGAGAACCACGACTACTAAAGTCTTCCTCACTCTTTTAAAGAAACTGGAACAGTTTCTGAAAACCGCGACAGGGGTGGGGAACCTGTTTCAAGTGATCAAAATTGTTTCTTAAACAAAAAAGTTGCACACAACAGGAATAAAACAAATGTAACGGAAGAACTGCACTCCTGAAGATGTCAAATAGAATTAATCTACCAGAGATCAATCTCATGCTTCAGAAATACCTTAAGGTTGTTATAATACTACACATTTATACAGTGCTTTATTGCCTAAAAGGAAACTCAACACCCAGAGTGTCCCTTTCACACCAGTTCCAATGAAATGCTTTACAGAAAGAAATTATATTGTGAAGCAAGACGTCCAGAGCCACATGCTAGAGGTGGATAGAGACCCGCTGTGAATTTCAGGGGGAAAAACTTTTATCGGGTGTCTCTCTTTATCTGCATCAATGGTTATTTTCCCCATGTCATGAAATAAATGTCAAAGCAGAAAGGGGAAAGTACAGAAAACTAGTAGATGCAGGGGGAGATGGTAGTCAGTTAAGGAATCCAGGTCTCAGATTCTTCTGGAATGAATGCAGCCATCCAAGTAACATATTGCTTTTTATTTACTGTCATTTAGTAAAACAAGACGTGGGACTTCTTCCATGACTGGGGCCAGTTTTGAGACATGTAAAAGCAAAGCACATTGATATCTGGACAATTCCTTTATTCTCCTGTTTGGTTCTGTACCAGATCCTCATTTTTCTTAGCTCAGTCTTCTTAGCTCTAGTACAAAGGAATTTTTCAGAAATATCAACAGGCAAAATATAGATAAAACTACAAACAATCCACCATTTGTTTCTTGAGAAAAACAGGAGTGAAGGCCAAATTGTATTGGCTATCTGGAAGTTACAGGAAAACGAGGAAGGGTCAAATATATCTAGTAACTGTACAGACTTGGATTTTCAATGCAATAACCATTTCTCTTCTAACTAGGGCAGAGTCAATGAAAAGGAATGAAAGATCAAATAACTTCTCCAGTTTTTATGGTGTTGCATGTTACTCCACAAAACAGTTAGCTCTGGAAATATTTAAAATCATGTCCGAGATTGCAGGAACGTGTCTTCCATCAACATCGGACTGGGGTTACTTGGTGAGGTAAATACATGGTTAGGGTAAAAAGGAAGCTGGTTTTGCTTGAGAAGGATTATCTGGAAATTTCTCCCCACCCCCAATATGTGTTCTGAAATTTTGGTGAGTATTTTCAAATGCGTTCATGTTTCATGGTCATGTTGCCAGGGCAAGTTTCATGCATTGGGATTCATGTGCTATTTCAGCAAATGTTGTGGCCAAAGGTGCCACCTAACTTTTCAAGGGAGCAGAGGCATTGGTGAAATATCTTGATGCGTGCAAGCCACTTGTTGGCTCAGAATCTTCTTGCAGTTTATGGTTAACATTCCCAGCTTTCTGCTCTTTTTTTGGATAACAAATTCACAGGTGAAGGGCCTTTGGAGGTCCCAGGTATCATTACCAGAAAAAGGGCGGAAAGACACATTGCACATCAAAATACAGGGTTCTCAAAGCTAGGGCTGCTGTTGAAGTACAAATTGGCAGCAGTTGGGTATGCACTTAACCCTTCTTCCATCCACCATGTTCTCCCTCAAATCCTTTCCCTGCCATTTTTCCTCGACTTGTGTGCAGGATGCAAGTTTCTGATAGAAGCAACTCTCTGCCATTTCTCCCTTGCAAATGCCCCTCTCCCTCTGCCACTTTGCACACTGATGGCAAACCCCAGCCTTGGGAGCCCTGTGTTTGTCACTGAACATACTGTCTCACCCTTAATATCACGCCCTAAGAGAATTCCCTGTCAGCGTACTACTTAGGAATATAATCTGTTAAATGAAATAAATAGAGGCTTTGCACACTATGCTCTCGGCTGCTTTCTTTCCCAAATACAGTGTATTTTGCTTTCAGGGTTTTCCACCTGCTTCAGCCTTAAGGGGCCCTCTCTCTTGGACTCTCTCAGTTGAGGGTGGGGGAATAGAATATTATACGATACATCTGCTATCTGTGCTGCCTCACTATCCAGTACTAACTTTTGCAGAATATTACTTAAATTGGTCTGCTTAAAGCAACTTGTTTTGCTTCTCAAAATATTGCATCTATCCACTTGTAAGGATAGCCTCTGGATTTGGGTATCTGTTGCCTCTGCACAAAACCAAGGGATGCCTTACATTACGAGGTGCACAAACCGCTGTTCCAGTGGGATGCTTTCACATGCCACTGTGGCATCACAGCAATGCTGAGTTCACAAGGGAGGAGCCAACATGCGGCTACTTCCCTGTGCCACCATTGCTCCCAGGTAGGGCTACGCTGGTACCATTGCCAAGCCCTCCCATGCTCCTACTGGCTTCCTCTGTTATCCAAGTGGCATGGGAAGGAGAAAGGCTGAAGTAGCTACCGGACCACTAAGGCCACATAAGCATCATCCCTTAGGGAAGCCTATATCTAACTGCATGGGAGGTTATTTCTACATGGCAACTCCACACATCCTGGTCGTCTTGCCTAGAGCATCTTACTACATACGGACCCTTTCTGTCTACATGGGAAGAGTTGTAGCATTAAAAGGTTATAAGCAGCCTCCCATCGGAGTAAGACAGTTGCAGGGCAGGGAGGCTGCTGACATTTTAAACCTTCCAAAACAATCATGCAGAAACTCTTTGTGATAAGAGATTGCCTTCCTCTCCCCTTTCAAAAATGTCTCCTGAAGCAGGCGTTGCAACAGAACTCCAAACCCCAAATGGGGAGGGAGGGAGGGAGAGAGAGAGAGAGAGTGTGTTGAAAGGCCAGTTAACCACTAAAAGCTCTAGTATAGCTTTTATCCTCTTTTTGTAATCCAGTGGATCCCTGTTCAAAGCTCAAGAACTTCTCATGTCCAGTGTGAAGACTTTCCTTTGCACCACTTGCACTGACTGACGAAAGTCAGGGAGGGGTTCCAGAATCCTATGATTCACAGCTTATTGGATGCACACAAACAAAGGTTTGGATCTAAACGGAATAACGAGACCCCCCAACACATACAGGGAACAGAGCAAACAATATACATTCACAAGAAGAATACAGCAGTGGCTACCCCAGAGAGTCTTCAGTTGTTCCTCTGCAATATGCAAAAAAGCCCCTCGCGCTACGTTTGTACAATATTTACAGATGGAGTGGCTTTTTCCCATACTTGCAAGAAATGCTTCCCTCCTTCACCCAACCCTATAAAGTTGTTTTAGGCTACATTTCCTTCCCTCCCCCAACCCCAAGAACACTGATTCTAAGAAAAGTTCCATATTGGTAATATTTCTGAAGTAAGGTAGCCTATTTACACACATTGAACACACGAAAATACTCTATTTTATACTAAACCTCTGGTTTGAAAACTACAATACTGCAGCGTAGCTTGTTTGCGGCTTTGGGGCAGACCAGTAAGGAAACTACACAAGCGAAGAATCTGCCCACAACCCCTACTCTCACATTTCAACAAGCTGTTTTTTGAAACACACAGTGGGGCACTACCAGCAGTATTTGCATTTTAACAGATCCATCCTCTCCCAAATTCAACACATCCATTTGCCTGGGAGAAGAGAGGGGCAGAGCGGGTCTGCAAAGCCATACACTACACATCCACCCCTTTGACGAGCGACCCTTCCAAGACAATGCTGAAGTCCTGCAATGTCTGTAGGACTCTGATGAGAGAATTCACCATCATGCGGTCACGCAGGAGAGCGTTCTCTTCGTACATCCGAGTGATGGCTGGGCACTCCGCCAGTAAGGGAATCCACTGCGGGATGAAGTGATCCCTGCAGAAAAAAATTGTATCATCAACCAATTTATGGTACATCCAGATACTTTATGCAGACATAACATTTAATCAAGGGTTTCCTTCCTTTCTTCCACTGCAAATCCCTCAACCGTTATTATAGATGGGCAGCCAAACAGGACCCAAAACCATGGTTTGAAGCAGTGCTTCCAACAACCGTTTTCATTAACCATGGTAAGCTTACATCTCCATTGCAAACCACTGTTCAGGCACTTTCCCCAACCTCTCGAGTCTTTGTGCAAGGTGAAAAGCAAGCCTTGTTGGTATCTCCCAACAAGTTTAGCTTGAGAAGCCAAACAATGCTTTCACTGCACACTGGCATATTAAACCAGGGTTACAGCAACAAACACAGATGGGGGCAGCAGTACTTTTGAAGGCCATTTGCTAGGTAATTACTTGCAGAATGTTGGTTTTGTTGCAAGCTACAGGGTAATATCAGTGAATCACAGAATCATGGAATTGTAGAGTTGGAAGGGACCACGAGGGTTCTCTAGTCCAATCCCTTACAATGCAGGAATCATTTTGAAGAAGCATTTAAAACCAATGTATCCTATTCCACTAAGAGCGGAATGGGGAAGCTGTGGCCTTTCAGTTGCTGGATTGCAGCTCCCATCAGTCTCAGAACAGCCAGGAATGCAGGATTATGGGAGCTGGAGTCCAGAAGCATTTGAAAGGCCACAGGTTCCCCAACCTTGTGCTAAGAGTTCCCAAAAGTAGCGCCTGAAAACATCGGGCTAGAAAAGAGATCATGATGAAAGGAAAACAGCAGAAAAGCAAAACTGAAAGTAATCACGCAGCAGCTGCTGTTAAGAGCACTTGCACATTTTTCCAAATCAGAGGATAATATTTGATGTTTGATTCAGCCTCTGAAAATTATGTTGAATGTGACCAAACAATGGATGGGATCTGAAGGGCTCAATTGTTGAGTTGCAGACTCATTATTGTTGCCTCAAAACAGATGGCCTGTTTCAAAAAGAAATCAAATGCCACGGAGAAGCAAGGAACAAGTTATTTGTGCCAGTGTCAGAAAGACTCATCTCCAAGAAATCAGAGTGTTTAACTGCTGATTCTCCCAGTGTAATGAAACTGTTTGTTGAGGACTCTATCTTGCTCATGCAAAGTGGCTGAAGCTGGCCACAAGAGAGATCAGCATCTTTTGTGAACTGGGGGGTTGGGGGGTTACATTTGGATGAATCAGAAGCCACTGAGACATAGACTGTAAACTGCTCTGTGATTCTTGGATGATGGGCAGTAAAATTTTAATAAAATAAAATAATGTATCTGTTGTATGGACTGAGAGAGATGGTTGTCAATTAACATACATTTCCTAATAATCTGTGCACATCATATAAAAGGCAAGATTGCTGAAGGTGACAAGCTAGTTTACTGCTAGTTTACAGTAAGTGCTATAGCAGCTTCTGGTAGCTGCCAGAAATCTATTCAAATCTGCTCAAAAAATCCAGACTAAAGAACTCAAAAGAGATCTAACAAATGTATACAGAGTAGGAGTTTAAAAATAGATTCCAGTCAAAAATATTAGAGGTATTACTGGAAAAATCCTGGCTCCAAAAGCCAGCTTTTAATGATGCCACCGTGATTTTGGGCAAGCCACATGCAGTCTCAGTTGCCCATTTTGAGGGGCTGGAAATGGTCTACATGACCTCAGAGTGTTGCTAAGGAAGAGAACAGGTTTCAAGACTTTTGCATCTTAGAAGACATTTGTGAGCAAACGACATACGTACCGAGTTCCGAGGCAAACTAGAATTTGGAATTTGCCGTCCTTCCCTATGTTCCGTGGTGCCGTATTGATGGCATTTACATAGTGGCAAAATGTTTTGCAGGAGGATTTTTGAAGAAGAACATCCTCTTCATTGTCCCCAAGCTGGTCAGTGGTCTCAAAGTAGGCAACAGCCTTTTCTGAAGGTGGATGGTAGGGTAGGAGGGGGGAGAGAGAGAGAGAGAGAGAGAGAGAGAGAGAGAGAGAACAAAAGCTCACTGAATGTAGAATGCAAATAATCTCTCAGCTCTTTCAACCTGCCATTTTGTTGAGTGACACCCTTCAGAAGCTAGGATTCACAAGTGCAAATAACACATAGCACTGAAGCTATGTAACTAGAGGCAGGGCTGTATTTGTGCTAAAAAAGTATTAAACTTTTAAGTACACCCAGCTTGATCCAAAACCTGCACCATGAAAAACAATTCTGAATCAGTTGTGCAAGTTGAGTGTGATTGCACAACTTCTTCAGTAACTAAGCGTCTAGAAGCCACAGATTCATGGCAATTAGGACTTTGAAATTACTATTATATGAGGAACAGTTCAAGTAACCATTTTGTCATTATGTCTGAAGTGATTTCCTGAGTGACAATTTGGCCTAGGCAGTTCCAGAATCACAGCTAATTTATTGCCTCAGAGTGCATTCCTAACACATTAACACACAGTATCCATGAATTCAGAGGTAATGACTGCCTTGAAGGCATTTTGCACATTCTGTTGCTTTGCACTGTCTTGCAAGTTAAGGGTCACTTGGCAAATACAGGCCTGTTCAAACAAAGGAAGATATGGACCTGCCTAGAAAAATCAAATTTTCATAGCATATGGAATGTCTTTGTGAATTTCAGGGAGTGGCAGCTGTGGTGTGGGAAGTATCCAAGTCAACTATGTGTGCCATTTCCCTTCCCCATTTAAAATCTTACCAGTGTGGCAAGATACCTGTCCATCAAGAAGCATGACAATGTGAGAATAAGGCAAGAGATGGTACAAGACTCCCCCCCCTTTCTGAGATGTTTATTACTTTAAAAGCAAAACAAAGTAATTGCCAGTTTGCTGGACTGTAAGTAGCTCCCCAACTTGTTGACCAAGGTGAACTACTCCACATTGTCCAATGGTCTAACAGTAGGGCTGGCTGAATGGTTCTCTCAGCAAGTAGCCACCAGTTAGAGATGGGCGGCATTCAATTTCACCAGAATGACATGAAGTCCAAACGTGTGGGCTTCAGGAAATTGGGCCCATAAACCCCAATTGAACTGAATGTGCCAATTACCTATGAAGTCCCAGATGAAGACATTCTTATGGAAGATACGAGCAGACTTGAAACCATGGTGGAAGACCTGCTCCAGTGCTGCAACCAGACCATTTTCTCCACACAAGAGAACAGTGAGGCTTCCCCTCTACAGAAAGAGAAATAATGGTTGTGAACACTGGCATACCAACACAAGCTACTACCGATTTTTCCCCTTAGCTACGGATGCTTTTTAATCAGCTTTCAAGACTTGTTATGATGAGTGCAACTTGGTTTTCCATGTCTGCACCTTAGGTGGAAATGTGATCTGGGTCAGAGATGGGGCACTTGTGAACTGCAAAAGCTGCATTTCATGGAGTCAGTTTTGGAGCCAGTAGATGCCAGGGGTGAGAGAGAGCGTTGTTGCTGATACAGCTCCCTTTCTGGATACTTGCAAGATTTACTCTGGTGCAAGGGCTAAGACGATAATGGCAGGCAAGAACAATTCTTTATTCCTCATATATACTAACAACAACCTCAGTATTCTGAGTAAGGTAAAGGTAAAGGGACCCCTGACCATTAGGTCCAGTCGTGACCGACTCTGGGGTTGCAGCGCTCATCTCGCTTTACTGGCCAAGGGAGCCAGCATACAGCTTCCAGGTCATGTGGCCAGTATGACTAAGCCGCTGCTGGCGAACCAGAGCAGCGCACAGAAACACAGTTTACCTTCCCACTGGAGTGGTACCTATTTATCTACTTGCACTTTGACGTGCTTTCGAACTGCTAAGTTGGCAGGAGCTGGGACCGAGCAACGGGAGCTCACCCCGTCGCGAGGATTCGAACCGCCGACCTTCTGATTGGCAAGTCCTAGGCTACAGTGCCACCCGTGTCCCTAGTATTCTGAGTGCTGGTCCCTATTTAGCCAAAATTACACCTCCCAATCACAGGAGAGAGATGTCAGTGGACTTGGGGGAACCTTGAGTTTGCAGAAGTACACAAAAAACACCCCTCTTTACAGAGCATCAGGGTGACTGGGAGGAGGGGTGCTGGGATATCAAATAGCCCAGTAAGGACTGAGTGTGTTCAGTGACCACAAGATGCTAACTGGGTGGGTTTGCTGGGGGCAGAGAGAGGGGATGGAATACAGGACTGATCTACACCAAACATTTAAAGTGAATTCAGTACCCATTTAAAGCACACAACTTCTCCCAAAAAGTGGGGGAAACTGTAGTGTTCCCCCCCCCAGACCTACAATTTCCAATACTCTTTACAAACTACAGTTCCCAGGATTCTTTGGGGAGGTCATGGGGTTTTAAAGTGCACTGGATGTGTTTTTAACATGTGGTGTTGATCTGCCCAGAGATATGGAGGAAGGCATGGCTGGTTGAATGAAAACAGTGAGCAGATGCAATCCACACTTCCAACGTTTAGTTGCAGGAGCTACTTGCATGTTCTTCTAATTGAGAAAGAAGGATCTAGAGTTGGGTAGAGATTTGCTACAGCAGTGAGCTATGGCCAAGTCCCTGCCTGTTCATCTGTGTGCTGCAAAAGTTGCTTCATGAAGTCTACATCCCATTTGCTCACATGGGAACAAATATCTGAACATCATGTCAAATGCTGGGGTTGTTAAATTCTGCTTTTCCTTTTCTGCATTTTCTGTTTCCTTTTTTTTTTTTTAAGCCATCTAATAAATTTTAAACATTTAAGGGAACACAACTGGCCTAACTGGCCAGACGGGAACTGAGTTAGGACGTTTTAAGTGCAACTTGCTTCTTACCAAAACAGTAAAAGGTTTTACGCAAAACAGCAACTAAATTAACAAAATATTAGATGGGTCTCAGAAAAATATTTAATCTTTTCCTTTTCTGTAAGCTAGTTGGCCTGGTTTAAAAACTTTGAATGGATTCAGAAACCCTTTGCATCCACTGCAAATATTGTGGGCAAAAACAATGTGGTTCTGAACTGCTTGAAAGACAGATACCATCATAATTTCATACTTTCCACCAGGAAACTCTGAACACATTTATAAAAAAGAGTGGGATGGTGATGGCAGTTGCTGAAAGTCTGCTTCAAGAGAAGGATCACATGAGCAGCAACAACAACCAGCAGTTAGGTAGTGAACTCCAAAGCTTGCCACAATGATGAATCTGAATCCAGAAATCTCATAACGTTATAATTTGATCAAGATTCTGTGCCTCTTCCACATAACCCTCTTGTCACCCCAGCAGCCAGTGGAAGAGGTTTGCTAACATCCCCTTTGGAAACGTTAATATAATTGCAATTGTTTGGGAAGGTACCTCTTTTTCAGGTTTGTGGAAATGCTTCACAATATTGTTCACAGCCTCCCCGATCCCCTCCTGGATCTGTCCCGCATTGGGTTCTGCAGGAAAAAAGGAGCGGGGGGGGGGAGAGAAAGGAGGGCAGAATTCAGTCTCAAGAGATTCGAAGGTTTGAAGGGAATTGTTAAAAATGTCATCATTGATGGTGTTACCGCAGGAAGTTATGTCTTACTTGTATTTTTCCCTGTGAGAGAAGTGATACTCAATCTCCGGGCTGTCGTTGGGGATTTCTGTTGAGGTGGGGTTCGGCACTGCTTCCCGAGATCTTCATCCGATGCTGTTGAAAGCAACTCTCCTATGAGAATCCTCTCCAGGCTACCATCATCAACACCCTTTCCCCAACCATCTTCCACATGGGAACCTAAGGGGTCACAAAATGGCGTTGGAACTGGCTTCAGTGTTCTAGTCAGATAGGTAGGTCACAAGCTCTAACGTACAGTTAAACCACACGTTTTGGGATTTCTTGTTGCATCAGTTCATATGAATGGGGTCACTGTAGGGCTAGTATAATCCCACATTGAAAAAAACTTGTGAACTAATTTGCAAGTATGATGAAGACTGCAGTCTTATACCCACTTACCTGGGAGTAAGCCCCATAGAATTCAATGGGACGTACTATACTTTTGAGTAGACATGTATCTGCAAAGCAGTAAGTGAAAGCGATCATATTCATATATTTAGCATCTCAACTTTAAATAAGATAGGGGAGTTTAGCCTTGCTTGCCTTTAATATAATGTTTTCCTTCACTCTTCCAGACTTACTTGTAAGTGTGCCCTGTGATTTCATTCCTGACCATGACACAATCCACCAGCCATTTGGCTAACAGTCCTGAGTTGTCATGACCTATCTGAACAGTAGTTAGCTTCCCCAAGTTCTGACACTGAAAAGAGAAAAGGGCAAGCTTAATTACTTTTAGTATAAACACAACCAAAATCACCCTGTTTTATTTCATTTCTCAAATCAGGCAGCAAAATAGGGCAGCTTTTGCTCCCTCAAAGCGGTCTCTATATTTCAAAGTCCCTGGATGTATATTGCAGATGATCAAAGCATGACTAAATGTTATAATCAGACCAAATGCAATCTGGTCCACATATGAATCTTCTTAACTTAAAAGACTGCAATATCAAGCAATGACCTATAAGTGTGTGAATGAACCACTGCTGATCTAACAGCACAGATACAATGCTCATTTCAGCCTTATGCATGTCAAACACTATGCTTTGAAATGGAGTTGGTTTATTTATCAAGCATATACAGTCATACCTCGGGTTGAATACACTTCGAATTGAGCACGCTCGAGTTGCGCTCTGCAGCAACCCAGGAGTAATGGATTGCATTACTTCCGGGTTTGCCGCTTGCAGACGCTCAAAATGATGTCACGCGCATGCGCAGAAGCGGCAAAAAGCAACGCAGGTGTTGCGCCGGACGTGCCATCGCTAGTTCCATTTACCTCTAGTGCGAACGGGGCTCCGGAACGGATCCTGTTATATCTAGAGGTACCACTGTAAACCCATAAGGCTCTAAAGCAACATCATACATTCTGTCCCCCACTCATTTATCTCATAACAACCTTTGTGAGCTAGGTTAGGCTGAGAGACTGGCACAAGAATCAAACAGTGTGTTTCATAGCCAAGTAATCATCATCTAATTTGGGGGCCTACATCTGGGTGCCCTACACACCTCTGGTAAAACAAGGACATACCAAATGAATGTGATAAATGTGGGCTGTGTCAAGAGGCAACTCTCCACATGAGCCATAGCTGCTCTGCTAGATTTCTAGAAGACAGATTGCTATTGCTTCTCAGGAGGGAGAGGGGAGGCCAGGACGGTAAAAATGTACCTGGTGAGGCACTTCTGACCATGGCCAAGTGCCATGCACCAAGCAGGGATCATGCACTATCAGTTGTGATGGGGGGAAAACTCCATGTACTCTCAGGGAACTCAGCCTCTTTTATTATGAAAATTGGTGCTGCAATACAATACCAGCCACCATCACAAAAGGAAGCTCGCTGTGAGCCCTTAATCATTTCCAGTGTTTATAACTCTCAATGAAAACATAATGGGTCCCCAAAGAATCACGAGAGAGTGCCATCTTATGAGCAATGCAGAGAAACGGAGATCTCTTCGCCAGCATTATCCTTACCGAGCTTTTAAAAAGGAAAGTGACAAGGAGCTATAAAGCTTCCCTGTTCCCTGAGAGACCAGAATATATTGTGGTTGTCTATCAGAGAGCAAAGCAGGCTCCTTTTTGCAGCAAAAAGCTTCATGCTTTTGCTGGTCATCAAGTTATTCCTGCAGGTTTTTAAAAAGCACCACTGGGTGCTTCTTAAAATTCTACCCGTGTCACAATTTTAAACAAGGGTTTCCTGATAGCGGCAGCAACCAACATCTGAAAACAGGGTGGAAGTGCATTGCACTAAACCAGAGGTCAGCAACCTTTTTCAGCCGTGGGCCGGTCCACCGTCACTCAGACCATGTGGTGGGGCGGACTATATATTTTTTTTGGGGGGGGAGGAATGAACCAGTTCCTATGCCCCACAAATAACCCAGAAGTGCATTTTAAATAAAAGCACACATTCGACTCATGTAAAAACACCAGGCAGGCCCCGCAAATAACCCAGAGATGCATTTTAAATAAAAGCACACATTCTACTCATGTAAAAACAGGCTGATTCCCGGACTGTCCGCGGGCCGGATTGAGAAGGCGATTGGGCTGCATCCGGCCCCTGGGCCTTAGGTTGCCTACCCCTGCACGAAACTCACCTCAAATGTCATTTCTAAAAGGTTCTTTGGGATCTGCATTATTCCAGTATCTCCCAGTTCTCCCGAAACACAAATCCATGGGTTTGACGTGGTGATTGCATTGCTGAGTTTTTTAATGGGGATTATCACCGTCCTATATGGAATCACTGCAAATAGCAAAGAAAGAACATTTAAAAGGGTGGCTTCATATTATAAATTCAGTACTGCAGGCCCACTAGGAACAAAACCGTTGCTACTAAATATGTAGCAGGATGCATACATCAAGGTTGTTGCTGTTGTTTTTTTAAAGAGAACAGTGTCATTTGCAGAGATAGGCTGACTGGGATCTCCAGGTAAATCTCTGGGATTTGCAGAAGATCAGCAGGGATTTCCAACCCCCTGTTGTTAAGCAACAACTTTTTAAATGAAAACACATTCCTGGGTTCAGAAGCACTTGGAAGCATCCTGTATCCCTGCTCTCCTTTGTAAGCCAACACTTTGCCCTTGGCTCCCGATGGTTTAATCCTCTTCCCTTGCTTCTCTCTCTGCAGCTGCTTTTTGCATTTTAAAGGGAAGCCTCCACTGGCGACAATGGAGCCTCCTTTGAAATGCAAACTTTGGCAGGGAGGTGGGGAAGGAGAGAGAAGGAGAAACTTGCTCAGGCTTCCCTGCAGCTGCTCTTTACATAACAAAGAAACATGCATGTTAATTGCATTCTTGCAATCAGCACCATTTCTGATTTGAGCTTTAGTTACTGTTCAATTTGGGGGGTGGGGTTTAAAATGCAGGGGTCTTCTTTTACAGTATTTTGGGAAAGTGCCAAGTTTTTGTAATAAATAAATAAATAAAATGTGACAAAGTTTTCTGATTGGTTATTTCCCTCTCCCATGGACAGTCAATAGGTTGTGCTTCTTACCTTGCTGATTTCAGCATAGAACTAGCTATGTATATGTTCAGCTTTTATCATGCAATAATGCAAGTAGCCACTAGGTGCTGCTATTACTGCACAACCAAAATTAAAAGAGCAAGCAAATTTAGGAATTAGCTGCTATTTTTAGAAGTGAGGGTGGATGTCAGGAGGCAAAAAATCATACTTGCTGTTCTATTTCCATGGAGCTTTGCTGTATACATTGCCATTAGTGTAAAGATCCAAGTTTGGTGCCTCCACCTCTCTGGCAAAATTGAAGGAACGGTCATAAAACTGGTGCAGTTTTGAGATGTATATGGCACCTGCCCCCCCATGTGCCTATCAATCTATCCTGCTATCAAACCTGAACTGCCTTTCAGTACATTTTTTTCCTGATGCTCCAGTTAGGCAGATGGGTCAAGGGACTACCATTTAAATTTCTCACAGTGCCTCAAATATAGCATCTTTCATGGGCAGGGGCTGCTAATACTGTCCTCCAGATAACTGTTTGAATACAAATTCCATCATCCCTGTCCACTGGCCATGTCATTGGGGCTGATGGGAGATGTGGTCTAAAAACATCTGGAGTGTCACAAGTTCTCTGCCCCTGATATAACCCATAATTACAGAATTGATACTATTATTATTATTATTATTATTATTATTATTATTAATTCAACTTATACACCGCCCTATACCCAGAGGTGTCAGGGCAGTTCACTATGTCAAAGGCAACCAATGCCTCTTTCACTTATATATTGTGTAAACATGCAGGAAAGGCAAAATATGGGTCAAAACTTTTCATATATTTCCACAGATAATGTGGGAACAACAGTGGAAGAGGACCTCAAACGGGGATGCAGAACCTGGGTCGCTCCAGATGTTGCTGGACCACAACTCCCATGAGTTGAATTCTATCACGATCTGGAAGGTTGTACATGCAAAGGAGGTGTACGCCTACAGTTTGCACAAAGAGATAGCAACTTGACACCAAATGGGGAGCAGTGCTGATCGCAACAGCCATGACTTCAGGCTTTGTTAGACGACCACAGTTATTCCTTTATCACACAGCAGCAGCTCAAGCTGAGGATGAGATTCCACCCTACTCACCGATGGTGGTGAAGACACTTGTGAAGCAGAAGTAATTCACAGCGTTGAGCGAGAGGAGGTGATAGAGGAACTGTTCCCGCTCCTCTTCGCAGCGCAGAAAGGCATAACGCTTGTACAATTTCCTGCAAGTAACAGGGAAGATGTTTAGATGCCCCTGAGAACAACAGGACTATATTAGGGAAGTGCTGGATGAGAGAAAAAACTAAAGGCAAAAGTAGATTAATTGTCCTTGCACCATCTAAACAAAACCACCTGCCTATGTTCTTTCCTTCTTCCGTTAATTCTTAGACATAATGAAAAAATGCAATAGTTCCAGTTTTTATTTCATTTCTTTAATATGCCAGTATAGGAAGCATGCAATAATTTAGGTAAGTTTTGCGAGCTTGTTAGGAAAAAAGCAAATGTTTGCACAGCCAGGGCTAAAATGGCCTTATACCAAGCTAGGCTACTGACCACTCTAAACCAAGTACTTTTAAGGATGATTCAGTTCTTGATATATGGCTTTCTCTGTCTTTCTGTTGATACTAGGCACAGTCTTATTCCTTGTAGCCACCTAACTTGTTTTGAAAAGGGCATTTAAAGTGGTGGGGTGGGGGGTTTGAATTATTTTACAATGCACAGTACATTGTATGGGAGAAATGGTTTGCCTTTATGCTTCATTAAGTGATTTTATTGATTAAACTGCATGTTGTCTAGGGAACTATTAAGGACGATGATGACAACGACAACAACAACAAGAGGGTTTTAAGGTACCTTGATCCAAAGCCATACAGTGGTACCTCAGGTTAAGTACTTAATTCGTTCCAGAGGTCCGTACTTAACCTGAAATTGTTCTTAACCTGAAGCACCACTTTAGCTAATGGGGCCTCCTGCCGCCACCGCACGATTTCTGTTCTCATCCTGAAGCAAAGTTCTTAACCCGAGGTAATATTTCTGGGTTAGCGGAGTCTGTAACCTGAAGCGTATGTAACCTGAAGCGTATGTAACCTGAAGCGTATGTAACCTGAAGCGTATGTAACCTGAGGTACCACTGTATGTGGCATATATATATATATATATATAGTAAAGCAGCCATTTGTTAGCCTTGTACCCACATCTGTTAAAATGCAGAGTTCTTTGTCTCCCCATAATTGGTTGCTATCCATGTCCAATGGTTCAGGGTGGTGAAGTGACCAAAACATGTTTTGTCACCTTAGTGCCCTCCAGATGTTTCAGACTACAACTCCTACTATGGCTGTGGAATTGAAGACTTGAAAACACATGGAAGACAGCGGGTTGGTCAATGTTGGGCTAGCGTTAAGCATCTAGAGCAGGTATGAATAACTTTTGGCCTCTGGGTATTGCTGAACTACAAGTCCCATTGTCATTGGGTATGCTTGCTGGACCTGATGATCTAGAACAGGGATGTCCAACTCCCATGAAACCATGCTACCTCAAAGCACCAAAAACAGAAGCTTTCAGTATCCAGGTGAAACCAAGGAGCTCTGCAACACATTCCAAAGTGCGTTTATCCAGAAGCAAGCCTATATATTGAGTTTAATGTACCCAGAATTTTTTTGCCTCAGATGAGGGCCCTAAAAAGGACTGATCCGTGACAACCACATCGCTTACTTTGCCAGGGCTTGGTTGGAAAGCAGCTGCTTGAGATGCTGAGACAAAAGTTTCTTTTCAAGGGACAGCCGTATCCAGGCTCGAGCTCGGCCAACATCAGTCTTAATTTCACTCATGTTCTGAATGTGCCTGAAGGAAAATAAAGAAACCCAGAAGTTAAAAAGAAAGAAAGAAAGAAAGAAAGAAAGAAAGAAAGAAAGAAAGAAAGAAAGAAAGAAACACACTTTTTATATGTTGCAGGATTTTCAGCTAAGTAACTGAGACTGGTGTGAGAAGACTTCAAGCTTGAGAGAGATACTTTCCTTCTTTTTTTGGAACCAAAGTTGGTCAATCAGAGACAGATGCAAAATGATAGTTCAGAGACTGAGCCAATTACCTTCTCCATCCCATAATCATGTGCTAGAATGACCTGCATGTACACTTACATATTTTCATCTATGTTACTACAGATCAGGTGTTACACGCTTCCTCCCAGTTCTTAGAAAGACTTAATAGGGGAGGAGGTAGCAAACCTCTGAATGAGACTCCTTAGTTGTTGGGCAGGTACCAGGCTGCACCAAGGCCTGCTGGGAATAACATAACTATGTGAGAAGCTTTGGGTCACACAGAAGAAGAAGAGTTTGGATTTGATATCCCGCTTTATCACTACCCGAAGGAGTCTCAAAGCGGCTAACATTCTCCTTTCCCTTCCTCCCCCACAACAAACACTCTGTGAGGTGAGTGGGGCTGAGAGACTTCAGAGAAGTGTGACTAGCCCAAGGTCACCCAGCAGCTGCATGTGGAGGAGCGGAGACGCGAACCCGGTTCCCCAGATTACGAGTCTACTGCTCTAACCACTACACCACACTGGCTACACACTAGGAGCCTACACACCATGGCTGCTCCCTCTGCCATCACTACCCCAGTTCCAGAAGGGATAAATGCTGGCATGGGGTGTTGTTGTTGTTGTTGCTGCTGCAGCAGCAGCTGAGCTGCAACAGTTAAGAAGAGAAGGCTGCTTATATCACATGCCAGAACTGCAATACGCTACACTATATTTGCACAGCCCCAAACACTGCATTGCTTCCTGCAGCTTTTCAAAAACAAAGTGCCTGCCAGGATTTGCTCCGCATACATCCCTGACCTCAGTTAATAGTTTTGCCTGAGATGACACAAATTTATTGTGGTTCCCAACTCCTCACACAATTAAGACCTAAAGCGAGCCCTTGAAACTCCGGCAGGCTGTTTCAAAGCAGTGAGATAATCCCCTACAGCTCCCTTTGTCCTTTGTTAACAACTCCCACAGCCTCCCCTTCCTTGAGCAGTGACTCACTGCAACCATCCAAATAACTACAAAAGAGCCTTGCTTCTGGCGCTCCCAACACTTGCTGCAAAGCAGCCCCCTCATTTTTTGGCTCAGTCTCTGACAGGCAGCTCTTAGGCTTCCCAGCACAACACAACTGGGCATGTGATCAGAAGTCCTTGAGAAATGCGATGCACACACATTATTCACCTGCATCGTGCTGAAACATTCAGCTTAGCTATTTAAAGCCTTCTGATAGGGGACTATATCAAAGCGGATGCCTCCCTGTTCCCATCTTTGATCATGAGCTCCATTTAAAAGCACCAAAACACTAAAGGCAGATAAATAATTTCCCTAACCTTGCCAAAGAAAATGGAGGTGGACATTGACGGCTGTTTCCACTCAGACCCAAAGGGTGGAAACTTTGTTCCCAGCATGCTCTCCTCTGCATGCAATGATATGCTCAGGGAAGCAGATTAGACACAACAGATGATAACACAAAACTGAAACGTATTAGAGCTACCTTATGCTCTGGGGCTGATGGTAACATTCAGACCCTTGGCAAGGATGCTTTAAATATTCAGGATGAAGACACAGTGGGTTATCCCAACAGTCATTCTGTTAGCTCAAGGACTTCTGTTTTCAAAGAGGGTGTTTCTTTTTCTGAAAGACTGAGTAGTTCTGGTGTGGGAGGGAGACTATTTATCTGGAATGGACTGAGGTGAGGAGAACGAGATGGGGCTCTCCTTTTAAGCCCTAGGAGTAGACTAGGTTGAGCAATGTCTTCGGTCACTCCCAGGCCCTGCCCACAGAAGCCCAAGAATGGATTCTGGTTGGCTCCCTAGAGACCAGTCCTGCCCTTGCTCTCCTGCCCAGCTGGCTGTAGGAAACCACTGAGCCTCTTGGGCTTGCCGATTGGAAGGTCAGAGGTTCGAATCCCCGCGATGGGGTGTGCTCCCGTTGCTCTGTCCCAGCTCCTGCCAACCTAGCAGTTTGAAAGCACGCCAGTGCAAGTAGATAAATAGGTACTGCTGTGGCAGGAAGGTAAACAGTGTTTCCGTGTGCTCTGGTTTCTGTCACGGTGTTCCGTTGTGCCAGAAGCAGTTTAGTCATCCTGGCCACATGACCCGCAAAGCTGTCTGTGGACAAACACTGGCTCCCTCGGCCTGAAAGCGAGATGAGCACCGCAACCCCACAGGCGCCTTTGACAGGACTTCACCATCCAGGGGTACCTTTTTTTTTTACCTAGCTTGCAGAAATACCCCCCCCCCCCAGTCACAGAAAAGGGTGCCTGTTACCCCCACCTCACATGGAACCACAGATTGGCTTCCCCAGTTAGTGAGGGAATTGGGACTTGCTGAGTGAGCTTCATGGATGAGTGGGGATCAGAACCTATATCCCCTGGGCCTAATCTAACACTACACCATACTGACATATCACATCACATCCCTGAAGCTGTGCGGGAAAAGATTCCTCTCCCTGACTCATTCTTTTCATGCTCTCAAGTATTGCAAAAAAACAACAACCCCAAGGCAAAATCTATTTGATGGCCATAGAGCTGTAATATGCATCAGGATTCAGTTTTAGGCTGTGGTATCAACATTTTAAGCCAACATTTTACATATTGAATCTCATACCTCATATCACTGATAAGCGAGACTCTCAGAGTAGGTAACATAAGCCCTGTGTCAGACTTCCTTCGTTCTGGCCCTACGGCAACTGTGGAGTGGGGGGGGGGAGGAAAGCTGCATTAATTTGTTAGCGACACATTATCAGGAAGCTGCAGAAATAATCCTAAGCCTCTTTCAGAACTCCACCAGGAGCAGAAGGATGTCATGCAAAGACATTTCTACTTGTCTGCCACAGTTTTACATCATGGCAGCTTACTGGTTACTTTTCCCTTTAGTTAATCCAGAGCTGGACTCTGTAGATTTAAGAAGAATCAGAAAAAAATGCTTCCACTTTTACAATTGTAAAAGCTACACAAGCCTGTTCCGTGCAAACATCGTTGTGTGTTTTTTTTTACACACGAGAAAAATCCTTATGCCAATTCCTGCAATCGAAATGCAAATGATAAAGTGTTTGGAATTATGCAAGTTATTACCCTCATGTAAAAGGCATGTTATGCCCAATTGTGTAGTCTAATTTCAGTGCCTACTGTTCAGCCTTTTCATTACCATGAATAACACACAGATCCCTCCCTATCAGTCTGGCTAGCTCCAAGCATTAAATAGCTACACATCACAAAACTTTATATATTAGAAGCAGAAATATGTCATTGAAGTTTTACAGGCGAGAGCTGGAGTAAAGGGAACACTCTACTTCTCATTCCAATCCTTCCTCCTTAGGTCTTCTTCTTTTTTTATCATCGCCCCCCATCCCGCAACCCCTTCTCTCCTCCACTCTTATCCCCCTCCAATTTGCCATCTTTCCATGTGATTGTCCCTCTCCTAGCCAATATGGACAAATCCTTCCCATCTTCCTGGTGGGGGAGAGAGGAAGAGCATCAAGGATGGAAGAGACTAGAGAAGGAATGTGTGGCCTTCCAAGAGGTGGTTAGGACTCCCAACTTTCATCAGCACCAGCCAGTGTGGACAGTCTGTGTTTGTCAACTGATTCCAGCTGTACCAGAAGCAAACACTCATCTTCAAAATTGTGGGAATAAACAGCCTATTTAAATACTTCAGAACAAGTTAACATTCTCATATAAGCTTGTTGTGGGTATACAAGACCACCCAACCCACAAACAATAATGAAACTGCTTCTGTAATATTTTACTGATAACGCACTCAGCAGTTTTTGATCCAAAGGATCAAGTCCTATGAGAAATTACTGCAAAGCACACCAAGACAAAAACTGAGTCACTCTGCAAAACAGTGTGCCCGCCAACTATTTGGATCTCTGCAGGTGCTTAGCAAATTTTAGGAGTACATTTATTTCTCTTCCTTCTTTGGCCATCACCCGTAGTTGAGTTAAAATTTCCTTTATAAGGTACAGCTATTGATGCTGCACAAAGCCACTTGACCAAAGTATTCTGTACTCACTTGGGGATTCTGCAAGCTGCTCCTGTTTCTCTTCCCTCTCCTGGTACTGAATTAAATGGGACCACAATGCAGATTTCCCCTTAAAAACAAAACAGATTTTCAGAAACCATTTGCAGCTTTTCCTGCTACACAGTACAAATATACCTAAATCAGTTTTATGGTGTCACTTTTATATTTCCCTGCAGAGCAAAACACTGCATTTTAGCCTGCGAGGCAGGTTAGGTTTAAGAGTGGTTTCCCCCAGGGCCACCTGATAAGCTTCACAGCAGAAGTTTGAACCCGAGAGTCTTGTATCAGAGTCCAACAGTTTTACTGCTACACCACAATGGCTCTTGCCACACAGCAAGTGAAACTATGAATGGAAGAACTACGCAGGCCACACTCTGAAATGCACCTTTCTATCCTGTAGAATTACATGGGGCTTGGAGCCCTGCATATCTGGACTCCAGCATCAGAACCAATCACCACCATGGCATTCAGCTAACCTATAACACTTTGACTGATTGACTTGACTGATCATGATTCTATACGTATGATCTAGTTGAGATTCCTGCATTGTAGGGGGTTGGACTAGATGACTCTCAGGGTCCCTTCCAACTCTACAGTTCTATGGTTCTAGGTATTTCAACCCATGCATCCAATCCACAAAGTTAGAGCTGCACATGTAAGTACTTATATTCCTTATATTGCATCACAAACTCACCAATACCCATGCTACAAAGGTGCAAGGGCTGCTTTGCGCATGATGCTTTTCCTAAAGAGTTTTCCCATGTAGGAAAAGCCCCAAACCAATTAAGAGACATAGCTCTTGGTGGGTAAGCGCATTTTGCATAAAAAGAGATTCTATGTTCAGCTCTCAGTATCTGCATTTAAAATGATCTTAGGTAGCAGGGGCTGGGGAAGGCATCTACCTGAAACCTTGGCAAATAAATAAAATGTCTGAATTCCATTAGATCCTAAAGACCAAAATGCTTTAATAAGCTTGCTGTGAGTATAAAAACAGCACTAGCACTAACAAACACCTTACAGCTGCCTCCAAAGATGTAATATTTTACTGATAGGTGCAGGTCAACCATTTCTGATCGAGAGGATGAAATATACTGTCAATCTTTGTAGACAATATGGACCTAGGTGGACCAGTGGTCTGACTCAGGATTCAAGACTCCTTTACTGAGATGGTTCCATGCAACAACATGCATGGTTTCATCCGGTCACGAGGTACCAGGGCTAAAGCAGGTAACTGCTTGAGGCTCCAGCAACCCACTGACAGAGCAGACAAGAGTCCTGGGCAATTGTCTAGCAGTGTAAGGCGAACATCATACGCTCCCAGAAGCACTCTAAGATGAGTGACAGCTTAGTCCTAAAAGGGAGTATGAAATAGTATAGCGGCTGAGGGTCTTTGTGTCTTCCAAGTCACTGACCTGTTTGACCAGTAGTCCATGACTCCAAATTCTTTCCAGCAAGTCACAAAGGCTAGCGATGAGCGTATTCTCTTCCAGACCCGTAATGTTGGCCTCTCCATGTCCAAGCTCAACAGCTTCATGGCCCATCTTCTCTACCAGCATACGTTTAGTCTGCAAACAAGCAAGGGATTTACAAGCATCATTACACAAAGCATGGAAACTCAATACAGTAGCCGCCCAAGGAATCCACTGAGCTGATTTTTATGCTGATTTTAATTGCTGTCTGTTGCTTTATTGCCTTTCTTCCTGTGATCTATTTTCAGGTTTTGCAAGTGGCCCAAATTTGGCAAAAGGTGCTTTAGAATCATCTTAGTAAACAAAAAGCAGCGAAACAGCAACTGGATAATCTATCATGCTTTGCTTTAATTTCTAGTGATGTGAACCTCACTGAGGCTGGTTGAATCGTTATGTGAAATAAGCTACAAAGCAGGACTCCCTCTTAGTATGTGCAGAACCAGTGAGATGATCAGATTTGTAGACTCTCCCAAGGGATAATCCTCTGCAGTCTAACACAAGAGGGGAAAATACTAGTCCTCTACATGCAGACCACTTCCTATCCCATTCATAGTAAGTAAACCATAAAAAACAGCCATATTCCCACACATTTTGACAGGAAACTATGGTACACTCGCAAGAATTTGGGCATTCTTTTAGGGCAATGCTGCCACTCCACAGTGAAGGGTTTGAATGAGGGGAGTGGAACCACGCCTCGCAACACAGATGTCTTTTTTTCAGCAAACCACATTTTTACCACACACACATGCTCAAAATACTTACCTTCATTCGACATTCTTTGAGTAAACCTTCTACGAATTTCCAGTTTGTTTGAGCAATGACAGCAGGAGAAAGATCGGAGAGTTTGGGCTGCCTCAGATTTTTCCCCAAGGTCCTTGCTTCTTGCATGTACTTCTAATCCAATGATAATTAAAAAACAACTAGCATGAACACAAAAAACACAGCACAAACACCTCTGCCCTCCTTAATCGACAAACTAACTCTGCACTAAAAAATAAAACAAAAATAATAATATGTGGGGCCAAGGTGATCCCCCCACCCCCTCAAACGTCAAGAAGCTGGAAGTGAGAGGTCAGAGAGGTGGAAATAATACCTGCACAAACAGTAAGTTTTGTGTAGATGGTTTTCAGCAGGCATCAGCCTTATAAATACACAGGTAGGGAGAGAAAGATAGCCTGCAGTTGAACTGCATGGGCTGTCAAACTGGCTACACAGCTCACATCTGTTTTCTGCCTGTTAGTGGAGTCGGATGCAACAGACTACCAAATATATTTTGGTGCCTGAGGCAGAAAGCCCACATCTTCACACACACAAGATATTACAAGATATCCTAGATATTACTGCTGTTCAACTGTACCCCCAGATCTGCTGAACTGCACTGCTTATGCCTGATGAAATGCAGGGCTGGCCATACTGGGGGGTGGGAGAGATGCACCCTCATATTCTTGGGACACATCTGACACCCCTGATCATTGGAGGATGAAAGGGGGAGCACAGTAAGGCTTCTGCCTGAATCCTTTTGGGGGAAAGGGATTTGCCATCCTCTCCACACTTCTACCTTGCACCTATGACATTGGAGCAGGCATCCCCAAACTCGGCCCTCCAGCTGTTTTGGGACTACAATTCCCATCATCCCTGACCACTGTTAGCTAGGGGTGATGGGAGTTGTAGTCCCAAAACATCTGGAGGGCTGAGTTTGGGGATGCCTGCGTTGGAGGAACAAAGAAGAAGAGCAGGATGGCTTTGAAAAAGCTCTTGATGATCCTCTGCCCCTTTTCCTTTGCATCCCTGATGGCAGAGATGCAAAGGAGCAACACATCAGAATCCTCACAACCCTGAGCAAGGTTCTGCAACAACCATTTTAAGTATTTATTTTTTTTCAAAATAAAGTGACTGTGCAAGGATCAAACAGCAACTGCTTTGGAAAAATAACAGTGGAGAGAACGTAGCGACAAGCTAGAGAAAAGGGTGAGGATTAGGACGGGGAAAGGTGGTAGTCATATTTTAAAGTGTGGTTCCAGCCGGATAAGTAGCAGAAAAAGACCACCTATATGGCCTTGGTCTTTGCAAGCCACCTTGACAATATTAATATGGGAATCAGGATTTTAGATGTAACAAAAAGCTCTGCATTTGCCAGGACCCGACTGGCCCCGCATCTCAATTTTTTTGCCTGTCCAACAAACTGTACTGGAAAATGAGAGGCTGAACTTGAACATCTTTCTTAGGCCTCCTGTTGTAAAACCAACACAAGGCAGGGCCCCGTAGCACTGCCTGAGAATCGTCTGACTGATCAGAACCACGCTTTATGGGCTGCTATAGAGGGGTGCACAGAATTCTACCCAAAAAAGCAGCGGTTAGCGTGAGAAGGAAAGCAGCTCTGGGCAAAATTAAATAAAACATACCAGACAACATTCAGAGAATGATTTTTTAGGTGGTCGTGCAGGAGGAGGTGGGCCCTGATCCCACTCCCAGAATGCCAGTGAGTTCTGACGGATCAAGAACTCCTCCAAAGGCTAAGAGGAAGGTGGATGCAACGAATGGCAGAAGCAGCAGATGGAGAAAAAGGAGGCGGCAGAACATGCATGCATAAGAGTCAAAGCAAAAACAGAAAGAAAGAGTAAATACAGTAAAGGGATGAAGAAATCAAAAAGCATGGAAGCAATTCATATAAAACGTCACAAGGAAATGCTTCTGAGCCGTCACATTCGATAGCATCAACACTCACAAATAACACATTCCTTTTGTTTCAGCAGAATAAGCTTTCACATTTGGGTATGTATAAAATGCAGGGCTTCTCGCCCTCCCTAAAACTGCACTCGCTGTATTGGATGCAGAATTCAGCAATGTCGCAAGGACCAAATGGCCTTAAGAATAAAAAGGTAACAAAAAAGAAAGAAGCACAGTGACTTTGGTCCTCGCGAAAACCCTGTGTTGTTCTTGCTTGTTTCAAATGGGCAAAAAAAGGTAAATAGGAGTAAGACAAAGACGTATGGTGTTTTAACAAGCCACGCAGGAATCCCTAACCTTCAGGTGCAGCTATAAACCTAGCACGCTCCCGTTTAAAAGGCTAAGCAGCATGCCACTCGCACACAGGTTGCTGGGATGAAACCAAAGCAAAACGTGCTTGTTTTGCTCAAGCACTTAATCTCCAGGAAAGACTTATTTCTGTAAGTCAACTGCTAAGTATAAGGCAGAAAAGAACTGCAATCTGGGGCTCTGAGGGCAGAGCCACTCATTGCGGGCAACCTAGGCCTGCTACGTCTCACCCACAAATTGCAGGAAGATTTCTCCTACACTGTCATGTCACCAGGCTGTGTGTTTCCACACCACCACCAGCCAATGATGCGGAACATGGTTGGGGAAAAACACATACAGCTGCAATATCACAATCAGTACATATAATGCAGTTTGACACTTTTGATGGTACCCCCACTTTGCCCATAACTCACTTCCACCCTGATATAGAGTTCTATGCGTTTATAGCTCTGCACAGGAAGGGAGTGCCCTTTCATGTCAAGCATTCCTCCTGTCTACAGAATTGGATGTGGAATCAGAAGCTCATTGTGCACAGCTCAAAAGGAGAGACCCCTCAAAGTCCAGTAAGACCACCTTGCATGCCCAAGGACAACTTACCCAAGGACTGTTATGGACGGGAAGAAGACTTCCATGCGCTTATGGGGCTCTGCCAACTAGAGGCAGCTTGGGGAGCCTTATATGCACACGGGGCCCTCAGTACAACTAGAAGCCATAATTAAGTTGATGGAAGCTTAGCTTAGCATTCATTTAAATGCATAATTCAGGAGTTGCTTTGATGTTCAGCACACTGGACAAGCGGATCAGCAGGGGTCTGTAATCCTTTCTGAAAACGGAGCCTTTTGTTAAATTGAATGGATTTAGCGATCTTATGGGATAAGGGAGGATATTAAAGCAAGTTCCTCCTGAGAACTAAATCCCTATCATCTCCCATTTCCAGAAGCATTCCTTCTTCTCCCCTGAAGCCATACTGATGCATTTTGGAAGAGCAAGTGAGTGCAACCATAGGAAGAGGCTAACAATAATCTCAAAATACAACCGGCTAAGAGCAATGATTTCTGATTTGAGAGAACAGACCCTTGGGGAAGCAAGAAAGGAAGCCAGTCTACATGTTAGGCTTGCAGGGACTGTGTGCGGGGAGAGGACAATTCTTTCTAGATAGAGATGGTTGGAAGATGGGATCTCAGCTTTTGAATTGATCCTCTCCTAAGGAGGCCCTATAATTCTTTTTTCCAGGAACCTGGACCCTGTTATCTGCTCCTATCCCAGATTTTTTTCTTTGGTGTGGGGAGACGTACATGCTTTATGCGGAGGTCTTGCTCTTAAGTTTTGACAAAGCTAATGCAGCCAAACCCTAAATGGATAACAAGTATTGGGTGTCTCTGCTATTAACCACAGCACTTACCTCTCGTAAGTCATTGTCCAAACCAATGTGTTCTGAATGTTGCCGGAGGCGATCTTTCCTGCGCTGTGCTGTAGCGCTTCGACTCACCCACCGACTGAGGTATTGGAAGGAAGGAAGGAAGGAAGGAAGGAAGGAAGGAAGGAAGGAAGGAAGGAAAAGTTGTAAGAAACCATTACATGCCAACTCTGGAGGGGGAAAAGGTTAGCACGGGTACTAGCTCAAGAGCAGACTCATTGAATGTAATGGACATGATTAACTTAGACCCATTTATTTTTTGATATTCCAATACAAGCCTCATGACTCCAAAAGGGTCCATTACAAACTAGAGCAGGGGTCAGCACACTTTTTCAGCAGGGGGCTGGTCCACTGTCCCTCAGACCTTGTGGGGGGCCAGACTACATTTTGGAGGGGAAATGAATGAATTCCTATGTCCCACAAATAACCCAGAGATGCATTTTAAATAAAAGGACACATTCTACTCATGTAAAAACACGCTGATTCCTGGACCGTCCGCAGGCCGGATTTAGAAGGCGATTGGGCCCGATCTGGCCCCCAGGCCTTAGTTTGCCAACCCATGAACTAGACAGATGGTGACAGAGAGAAAATGAGGAGAAGAGAGGATGCCATGGAGACATTCCAAGTTACTCTTCACTGGCTAGGTCAGAGGTTGCCAATGTGGCATTTCCAATGACAATGTGCCCAACCAGAGTCTCCTATGATGCCCATGGAAAGTCTCACTAAATATCCTCTCAAAAATCCACAGCACATGGGAGACTCTTTGGTCTTCCTGCTCAGTTTCTCTTTGCACTGACTCAGCCTCTCCTACCCTGAACACGCCCACTTGTTCATGCCCACATTTCGCTGGGTGCCAGCATTGGACGCCCCCGCTCCCATCTGTTTCTGAACAATTAAATGAATTCCAACTGGAAGAGACTTCCACAGGCCAACTAGGTGGGAAAGGGTTTGTCTTAGGTATTCCCCTGTCCAGCTGCAGGAGAATACCTAAGCTCAAAGACCCACCAGGCCACACTGGCTCTCAGCTCTGGTAAGGAGAAACAAGTTTTCTTCAAGGGCAGAAAGTCAATACTACCAAATCTTCATACTGGAATGTGCCCCTTACTGGTTTCCTTAAAAGAAAAAGAGGGCAGGAACTTCTCCCTCCATTAACTCCCCCTTCCCCACACTTTCCTACACTGGAATGAACACACCCCAAACATCACACTCTTCATTAAATCCAAGTCCAAGGCAGGATACAATATAATAAACAAGAGGCATAAAACATAATGGGTGGAATTCAATTAGGTTTTTCTCAGAGCAGACCACTGAAATTAATGAACATGACTAAGTTAGGCCCATTAGCTTCAATGGGTCTACTCAACATAAAACCTGGTTGAATACCACCCAATAAAACCATGCTATATAAAAATACTAATATAACCTTAACACAACAAATCAGTCAGGGCATCTTCATCAGTAATAATTTAGCAAAAGGCCTGGGCAAACAAGCACGTTTTTAACTGGTGCTGAGGCCCAACAGGAACAGTGCCCATTAAACCGGCAAGGGAAGGGTGCTCCACAATTGGGGTGCCAGTATCAAAATCATCCTCTATCGTGTGCAGTGTAGAGGACACTGCTAAAGATAAAAATCCAGGGTTTCTTATTCCATTTGCAAAAACATTCAGAGATGTAAATGGCTCTTGTGCTCATTTTGCTGGTTGCTCTACAGAACCAATACATGTGACGCATTATGCTCCTTTGGAAGTAATTACAAAGAATTACAGGATAATCAGTGGAGATTAGTGTATTAGAGAGCTTATTTAATTACTTTGATTTCACAGCATACGTGTTCCGATTCCCTCTAAGTTAACCTGCAGTTTAAAATCAATCAAAGAAAACCCAATGAAGATGTCTGCTCCTGCTTGATTATAACTCCTTTTGTTACCAGAAAAAGAGAATCTGGAGACTCTGATTGGAACTCGAAAAATCAACATTTCGTAACAGGTTAAATGCTTATAGTTCAGCTCTAAATACAAAGCTTGTAACTGGCAAGAACAAAATACAATGTCCAGGGGATGACAGGAAGCATCAGTGCAGATGATAAAGTACTGGAATAATATAGCCTTGTAAAAAAGCCCATAGCAACTAGCATGTGAATTGTAATTTTTTTTTTCTAGTGTGCTAAGATGCTATAAAAGCTTGTGTTTCCACAGAGGAAGAGAAGCCCCATACCTGAACTTTGTCCCTTCTCTGCTAGCCTACTTGGTTAAAAGGCGGTTTTTACAGCTAGCCTGCATTTCCATTTAGGCTGAGGCTGGAGGAGTTTCTCTTCCACTGCAGCCAGTCTACTCACTCACCCACATAGAACTTAGCTACATGAAATCTCTGGTCACCTATAGCTACCAAGTGAGTTTAACACTAGGTTTCTGCAATATATCCTCAAAGTGATATGGCACAGGCTGCAGCACCTGAAGCTACTGGATACTCTTCATGGTAAAGCCTCATAGAAGTTACACTATGTAGTGATGGCCAAACTTGGCCCTCCAGCTGTTTTGGCACTACAACTCCCATCATCCCTAGCTAACAGGACCAGTGGTCAGGGATGATGGGAATTGTAGGCCCAAAACAGCTGGAGTAATGCTGCCAAGGGGAAGGGACAAGCTCATATCTAGGAATCACTGGTTTTTTTTCCAGTGACTGAGGGAACAGAATCCTAAATCGGCAAAGCAGCGTAGAGACTACACTGAAAGAACTATTCCCATGCATTCCAAGGGGTTATTACAGTTGCAAAAGCTTACTTGTTGTTGGTAGGCCCAGCTGCCAGCACGTCTGACTGAAGCTTAGGGAAGAAGCCTTGTTCATATTTGCCTTGGCCTATCTTCATATCAAGCAAATGAGGGTGGATTGCAGTGTGATCAATCTTCGTCAGCCGCTGTTCAATGGCCTGAGCTGAAAATAGCAATTAACACACGAACAATTTCTTTTTTAGTTAACTGAAACCAAGGAACTTTTCTTCCACAGGCAGGATCTATCTCTGGAGCCAGCACACCTGAGGTAAGTTGCGGTCAGTCTATACAGGTGAGGCAAGAACAGAGGCCATTAGTAGACAGGACCATGCTTACTATTAAAGGGACCCCTGACCATTAGGTCCAGTCGTGGCCGACTCTGGGGTTGCGGCGCTCATCTTGCTTTATTGGTCGAGGGAGCCGGCGTACAACTTCCAGGTCATGTGGCCAGCATGACTAAGCCACTTCTGGCGAACCAGAGCAGCGCATGGAAATGCAGTTTACCTTCCCACCAGAGCAGTACCTATTTATCTACTTGCACTTTGACGTGCTTTCAAACTGCTAGGTTGGCAGGAGCAGGGACCGTGCAACGGGAGCTCACCCCGTCATGGGGATTCGAACCGCTGACCTTCTGATCGGCAAGTCCTAGGCTCTGTGGTTTAACCCACAGCGCCACCCACGTCCCATGCTTACTATTAGGGACTCCTAAAAAAAATGTTCACCAACAGCATATCGCTTGAGTCATCATTGCTAAATGGGAATGAGGGAAGCTGCTTCTCAAAACGTGGGCTGAAATATCAGTATGTCCATATTCAAAACCAACTCTGTTCCTTGGTGAACAACTGGAGCAAAACGCTGGAGGTGAAGGAACACAAGATTCCATGCCTGTGTGTTAGTCAAACAAACACTGGGTGTTGGATTCAGATCTGTGGGGTTAGAGATCAGAAGGAAGATTGATACTACTATCAACTTGAAGCGCATGAGGTTCTGGTGCCACCATATCAACCGAAACCAGCCTCCGAAGAAAAAGCAGACCTGAAAATTTAAAATGGTTTCAAACACAAATTAAACTTTTTTGTTTGGCTATTTAAATCCCAGTGTTTCATTTCTAAAGATAAAAGAAAACAGAAAAACAACACAGTTTGACAGATCATATCTAGCCAGCTGCAATAAATACCTTCAGTGACACTAGCATAGCTTTCACAGGTAAAAAGGAATTTCACAGCTAAATCTCTCCACGGGGACTTTTACATTCTAAATGGATCCAGTCAACATTTTTTTATTTTAGAAGGTTTTAGGGGGTGGGCTGGCAAGTTAGATTTTTAATTCAGATTCTCCTGCTGGTTTCCATGAACTCTCAGATTGTATTAACCCAATTTAAAGCTTTGTTTTTCTTGAGGTGTTTTGCATTGCTCCTTTTTGTTTTACTGCACTGTAAGGTGCCTCAAAGGTGGTGAAGGGGACTCAAAGGAGGGATATAAATTAAAGCAAATGAATATCATAAACTAAATCAACTAGGGTAAAATACAACTTCTGCGTAGCTAGTATTTCTTTCTTTCTTTCTCTCTTTCTCTCTCTCTCTTTTGAAGCTTGTACACTGACAACTGATAGACCTGTACATACCTGCTTCTTTCAATGTGCTGCACTTCTGATATGTAGACGTTCTCAGTGAAGGAACCCGGACATTATACAGCCTTATCTTCTCGATTCGGGAATCAAACACTCGCAAAAATGGGTCTTTTTCTTCCCAATGGGACATAATTTTATTGTCGATGAATGTTGCAAACATTTGAGTTTCAATGAAGTGTGAGAGGAATGGGAGGTAAGGCTCCGGTTGGTCAGAGAGAAATGAAGCCTAGAGTTGAGGGAACCCAAAAGAAAAAGTTACACCTTGCAGTATACTTGTTTTCCATTTCAGTAATTGTCCAATTATGTCCCAAGCATACTTTCACAGGGAGCATGCATAGCCCAATAGCAAACAGTGACCTAGTTGGCACGTCACACTAAACCAAATTGAAAAGAAACTACAGTTTAATGCCAATGAGCTCAGGCAGTTCTGTATCACTCCTCCCCTGCTCAAGCCGCACTACGAATGAAACAGCCTGCAGTCTAGCTTACGACGTCATCCAAACCCAGACTTGTGGTTTGTTTCCTCCCATAAAGCTACAAGCAATCACCAAGATCTGTTCTCGTCTTAATACTCAAGATTCTTTGGAGGAAACAATTCATAAGCCCAAGTTCAGAGGACACAAGCCAGACCATGGTCTGTTCATCTTAAGCGCAGCAGCCAGAACAGGAGAGGGAGGAGCATCATGGGAACTTGTTCACAATTAACCATAGTTAGTTTTAAACTATGGTTTAATGTGACACAACAAACGGTGTCTGAGATAAGAAAATAAAAAACATCATTGCACCAAGATCTCCAATCCAAAATGTCTCACCAGTCTAGAGTTCTTATTTGCTACTTTTCACTCTTATTACACAGATTGGTTACCATAGTTGGCTGAGAGGCACTTTTTTCAGGGTAGACACCCAGGGCCAAATATCTCACCCAAGTCACTTTGTGACTTGGTCACAAAGACTACTCCATAAATATACATATTTTTGAACAAAGGAAGGACACCTTTGCCATTACTGGCAATAAAGAAATCCCGCAAGATTCTGATAAATTTTCCACACCAAATCTACGGTTCAAAAAGGAGAAGAATCCATGTCAGCATCATTTTGGATCAATCTGAGAAGTTATTTCATCAGCTGCCTCCTCAAGTACTCCTCCTCTTACTCAAAATGCAACTGAAGTATTTTCTAGTAAGAAAAATAAACCACTCACCTAACAAGGCCTAGACAAAACCAGGCTGCATCTAAATCATGGGTGAGGGGACCTGCTTTACCACAGCTCCCATCACTCCTGACAACTGGCCATGTGGGAGTGGGTGGGAGTCTGGATGTTAACAGAGCCCAACAACATCTGGAAAGCCATAGGTTACCCACCCCTGACCTAAATAACAGCCATCCCCATTTACACTTGCTAAGCAATTTGTGGTGCCAAAATTCGAAAAGAGCTTTTGCTCTTTGAATGGGAAGAGAATCTAAATACATAATATAACTATCGACATGAAGCTGCCTTAATGCCAAACCGTTTGGCTGATCTAACTCAGTATTCTCTAACTCAAAAAGTATTTGGGGATCCTTTAAACCAGAGATAGGGGACTGAACTTAGGACGCTGCAAATGAGATCATGTGCTCTACCACTGAGCACCGAGCCTTCAAAAGGCAAGGCAACTGAACTGACTGTTACAATGAAAATATTTGGCTGCTTTTACTTTGTCAAAATTTTGCATCTGTTCCCTGTTGGTCAGCCATGATTCCCTGTCTTGCGCCGCTTGAATGACGAAAGCATCATAGTCAGAAAACATCTGCGTGAAGCGGTTGGCGAAGACCTCTCGTAGCTGAACGTTCAGTTTGTAGTCCCTCAGCTCCCCGTCTTCACACTGGAGCTTAACATTCCTTTCCTTCTCTTCCAGAGGAATGTTGATGCTCATTTTATCCACTGTCACCCCTGTTCTCTTTGCCAAAGCGTGGAGGCGGGCAATAGTCTCATTGCCCTTGAGCAACTCATACATGTTGATGGTGTTGCTTGGTACGTTCCCATTTTTTTTGTCATTGGCCAAGTCATTGAGGACTAGGTTCTTAAACTTGGTGGCACTCTCGCTACAATGGAGGGTGCCCTCAAGGGGAATACCAAACTGAAGCAGAACTTCGGAGATTTCCTGGATGAAATCCGGCTTGTTGGGAAACTGAGGAAGTTCCTCTGGTAACTCAATAAAGTGGTTATCGATATCCACGAAGCAGAGGTTAGCCTGGAGAGGGGGAAAGCCAAATATTATTATTAAATGTATTAGTTGCCTAATACAGAAATAGTCTCTTGGAGACAGAGTGTTTGAAATATACTAATCATCAACACACTAAAAAATGCAACTTCAAGTATCACATCAACAACGGCAACATAAGAAATACATAGGTAATGATAACCCATCAGCAGACATAAAATATTCAGAAGTCACTTTGAACAGGCAGGGATGTCTTTACAGGGAAATCCTTGGGAAGACTTTAAACCAACAAAACAAAACAAACCTTTCCAACTGATTGGGGTATGGGCAAAATATCAATGCAGAGGCAGCTTAATCCAAATATTCTATCCCACTAAAGTACTAATATAGAAAACCCAAGAATGAGCCATTGGCTCCCCTCTAGTAGTGCCCAAATGTTTGTCGCCTGTCCAACAGTGAGGCTGCCTTCAAAAATATACACAGTGGTTTCACCACATACACGGGTTTTGTTTGGAAATATAAAGTAATCCAACTTTTACATAAACCAGTAAACCCTCAAAATAAAGTGTGGTGCCTTGGAAGAGATTACTATTCCCCACCCCCACGACTCAGCTTGAGTCATTGCTCATGAATTTGCTGTGCTGAATCCAGTTTGTTTCCCCGCGAGGGAGCTGAGGCCTCAGATGTACCAACCATGACAAAGCAGCATAACAGGAGACCTAGATATTCACAAGGGCAACGGCAACTCATTCTAGTCAGTCTTTGAACTGATATTTAATTGGTACCAGCACTCGGTTGTTTTCTCTAGGGTGTGTTGAAGAAGTCCACTTGCAATGCGCTTCTCACAGGAAGGAAAAGGCAGGAATCTGAACTAAATCCCCAAATTACATTAATTAGCTGCCTCATATGCTTAAAGATATATTTTAAACACAGGACATGAAGCAGGGAAGGACTGCAAGGTTCAGAAGTTCAACTGGCATCTACGGTGTTATCTTTTCGGTGTCAGCTTAATTACTTTCCCAAGCATTAGGTGTTGAGATTTTATAAAACTACATTATAGTTTATTTGAGCATTAGCTTTATCTGTTCTTTCTACATATTATATTGTGAGGATGAGGACCTGCATTTATTATTTTATAGTCGACCCTTGTGTCAATAATAACATGGGTGAGATAAAATGCCAAAATAAATTGAGTGTACAAGGAGGATCTACAAGATAAGCTCAACTCCATGTTGCACATTCCCATACACTAGGGAGGTGAAGTCGTCTTTTATGCAAGGCAGACTGAAACTGTTAATGGTATCTGATTTTTAGTCTTTTCTTTCTACTCCTACACCCACTGAAAAATGACTCTAGGTAACAGAGAAGGGGAGAAGCTGAGGGGCTGCATTTAATGGTGGCATTTTGAAACAGCGCTTTCCACAAGATGGTAAAACCATTCGGTCTTTTGGCACACAAATACTGGTGAACAAAGGTTCATTTCAGTGTTCCTTTCATTGTTCAGGCCAAGCGCCACACTCTTGGGGCTAAAAATAAAACCTTTGTGCACTTGAGATAAAATCCTAACAAGTGGCATGAATATATATTTGAACCACCTTGCTAGAAACAGGAAGAGATGCAGGGAAACAGCTGTCAACAGTAATAAACTAAATTAAATGACTGGTGATGGCCAGCAGCACTAATAAATGGGGCACACACACAAACTGGAAAAAGGCAATTCAATGCTACTGGGGCTTGGCTGGGTAGATGGAGCTACTTCCATACAACAAATGGTACAAAACTGGTCAGGGAATATGCTTCTTCATAGCTCAATAGTCAGAAAGACCATTAAAAAAAAACAATGGCAGTGTAAAAATGTTTTTGTGCCACAGCTGCACCTAAAGAAATCTTGTAAAATTAGCAAAAAATTATAAAAGCATCCAAATCTCTGCTGGAAGTGCAAGAAAGAAGTGGGGACATTATACCATATGTGGTGGGGGTGTAAGGTGGTAAGACAATTTTGGAATGAGATACATGAGGAGATCAAAAAGATCCTCAGGAGCTCTATTTCAAAAAAAACCGAGTCATACTTACTGAGTTTATTGACAAATGACATACCCAAGGACAAAAGGAATATATTTTTGTATATAACTGCAGCCGCAAGAATACTTATGGCAAAATATTGGAAAACAGAAAAAGTATCACAAATGACAGAATGGCTAGTTAAGATTTGTGAGTTTGCCGAGATGGCAAAAATGACTGCAGCAATCAGGGGCTGCTCCAATCAAAAATTCTATACAGAATGGGAATGCATAGGGGAATACATGAAGAAATATGGTGTTAAAGCAGAACTCTTAATAGGCAATTGTTAAGCGTGTAAGGACAAAAGAAGTAATTATAATTTAACAGTTTTCAAGTTACTCTATTTTATCAAAGCAACTAGAAAAAATATATATTATGATGGGAAGATCTCACACAGGTGAAGGGAAGCAGTGGGGAGGAGGGGTTAGGTTGAATTTGGGAAATAAATAATATATGGAACAGCAAAGGATATAATAGATTCTTATAGAATAGTAATAATTGTAACCAGAATAGAAAAGGGGAAGTAAACGTACTTTTAGCATTTTCATTATTGTAATAGTTATTATTATTTCTTATCAGTAGAAGGCAATGTTAATTTAGACTTCTTTGTTTTGCTGTTTGTATAAAAAAGGGGGAGGTCTTCTTCTTGGATTGAGTAAAAAGAGAAACAATTACAGTATTTAGACTTCATTCCTAAAGCCTTACTCTGATGTTCCTATCCAGAGAGGATCCATGTCCAAATACAGAGCCCATGGGTTTGCTACAAATGCACAGAAAAACCAGGAATACCCATGTGGAATTATATATAGCTCATGACAAGTTTTAACAACAGAAGAAGGCATCCTGAACTCAGGTTGCCAATATTCGCTCTGCACACAGCACTAAGGTTCAGCAGTGTGCAATAGTCACCTCTTGGGGAAGCTCCAGTTTGGAACGGTCTGTTCCCTCCTTCGACTGCAGGCCCATCAAGTAAGGTACAGGAGCATCGAGGAAATGCAGGAGAGAGGCTGGGAGGATGGGGACGTAGACATGTTGCCACTGAAATGGGAAGAGCAGCGTGGTGATGCCTTCTGCAACCGTCATCAGACGCTGGTAGTCTAAACAGAGCAAACCAAGACAGAATTACTATATCGTTCCTCTTAAAAAGCCATCAACACTTCAGCATTAGACAGATGGCAAGTGCAGAGCAATTCTTAAACCCACAGAGCATGTTTTGCAGCTATTCGTCAGCTTGATTTAAGTGTGCGGCACGAGCTCACTGCTTGTTTAAAACGGATTGAAATATTAACTCCAGAACTATTACACAAAGAAAGCTATGAAATTTTAATAGACACATCCAGCTATGATACAAAATTTAACAAGTGAATTTAAGATTAACACCAGGAGAATGGCAAAGCGGAATTATGTACATTGCTCTGCTGAATTGCCAGAGGAAGAGCAATATGCAGATGGGACAAGAAAGGAACCAACAGCAAGGGGAGCAACTGCTGTCATGCCCGTTTTTGCTCATAATTGTTCATTAGGCTGAATTTTCAGCTCACGTGTTAGCAGCCTCCAGGAAGCGAGGCAGCCTGCAAATCCACCTTGACGGAAAATCAGAACTAACTACACAAACGTGAAATGCACCCTAGGACTTATTTTTAAAACAAGATTTCAAGCCAGTACTCTCAAACTCACCAGTACCCTGTCAGCATTTTATTCCTGTGTATTCTATTAAGTTTCTAGCCAGAAAGGATGTTTCTACAATAACTGATATAAAGTGTTCTTCTTTTGATGCTGCCCAATACTGTTCCAACAATTCCAATCTGATCTTCGACTACTTCTTCCGTATTAGAAAATGCAAATGATTCTGAAGGGGAGGGGGCTCTAAGTGAAGGTTTAACATGAATGTAAAATGTATCCCAACTGAAAATGGTCAAGTGGCTCACCAGCGTTAACAGTGATTAAATTTCTCTTCTTGAGTCGGAATAGTTGTATTCATATTAACTCTAGTTGGCTAATTAAGAATGGATTCCCACAGTTTAGACTCCTTCACATCTATTAATTTTGTGTGTGTGTGTGTGCGTGCCCGTGCATGCACACACACACACACAAAACACACACACACACACACACGCAAAAACACACACACAGAGTCAGATTAACAAGGACATGTCTTATGCCTTTTCCCACAACAGAACAAGTCCTATGACTTACAAGCACATAGTCCAAAGGGGTCAAAAGAAATACTGAAATGTTTACTAACAGCACTCCACCAGGGTGCCATATGGAAGGAAACGCACCCTCTTCTCAAATATTCTGTTCCCAAACTTAAGGTAAAGGTAAAGGACCCCTGACCATTAGGTCCAGTCGCGGACGACTCTGGGGTTGCGGCACTCATCTTGCTTTATTGACCGAGGGAGTCGGCGTACAGCTTCTGGGTCATGTGGCGAGCATGACTAAGCCGCTTCTGGCAAACTAGAGCAGCACACGGAAACGCTGTTTACCTTCCCGCCGGAGTGGTACCTATTTATCTACTTGCACTTCGTGCTTTCAAACCAGTAGGTTGGCAGGAGCAGGGACCGAGCAATGGGAGCTCACCTCGTTGTGGGGATTCGAACTGCCGACCTTCTGATCGACAAGCCCTAGGCTCTGTGGTTTAACCCACAGCGCCACCCACGTCCAAACTTTACACAGCTGTAAATATGGCTTTAGAAGAGGGAGGCAACTATTGTAAACTACATTTCGAATGGCCTCTAGAAGTATTAGCTTGGAAAGCACAGGTCAAATCCATTCTAAATGCATGTGCGCCATGTCTACACTTTTATACTGCCTCCCATTAGCTGAATAGCTTCCTATTTATTACCTCTCTGCTGGAGGAGCGTTAATGAGCAAAATAAAAAACCACTGCCTCTCAAGTATATTATCTCTTTTTATGCCTTATCTACATCAGAGTATATTGCCAGGCTTTCAGCACAGAAAAACAACTTGATCAGTATTCAGCCAGGAATTTAAAATTGCTAGGGGCGGCACTGGCAGCCCAAACTCCCTCTTTATCTCTGGCACAATGAAGCCTTCTCAGGAGGGCGGAAGCTTAGGAAAATGTACTTTTTGAAAGGGAACAGCAAATAAACAATTTAATTATTTGTTGAAAATAAATCCAGCTATACAGGTTATAAAACAACCAACTAATACAAATAACACATAATAGAATTCAACATCAGAACAAATACAGCCGCCTAAAAATAGCTGAGAAGGCTGAACTGCTAATCAGCTAAGCATTAATCAAGGGACAAGGTGGTGTGGTGGTTAAGAGCGCTGGACCAGGACCTGGGAGACCAGGGTTCAAATCGCCACTCAGCCCAGAAGCTCACTGGGTGACTTTGGGCCAAGCACTGTCTCTCAGCCTGATCTACCTCACAGGGTGGTTGTGAGGTCTGCATATGCCATCTTGAGCTCCTGGGAGGAAAGGCAGGATCTAAATGTATTAATACATACAAAAACTTTGAAAGCCTCAGAAAATTTAAAAAGAATTAGCCAGGCACCAGAAGGATGACAATACTGGCCTTCCAAAGACAGGGTGCCACCACGGAGAAAGCTCTGTCCTACAAAACCACAAAGTGAGTTTTCCCCAGTGTCTCCTCCCATAAGGTCTGGCAAGCAACAATCAATGCACACTCTTCCTCACATATCCTGAACACTTATCACCAATTTCATAAAAGAAAAATGTTCCAAAATGTGAAAAGATGGAAAAAGTTTTGGAGAGCTATTTTAATTTTTTTTGAATGTATATTACCTTATTTGTTGTAAAAACTGTTTCAGATGGTTTTCTTCTTAAATGTTATTTAAAAACATAGTTATTTTGTTGTTGTTTTATTTTTAATTCTATCTTAACTTTCTGGTAGTTGCAGTTCTGGGCTCCTTTGGGAGGAATAATGGGCTACACATTTAATACGCAAAATAAATAAATTAGGGGGTAGCCAATGCAGTGTCCCCAGACCGCATGGCCAATAGACAGGGATGATGGGGGCTGTAGCCCCACATCTGGATGGCAGCACATTGGATAAACCTGCTTGAATTCATCTATCTGGCACCAACATTGCTGTCCTTTCAATGCAGGCAAAGAAATGTTTATTCTTCCACATTTTTTTACAATTTTAAAACTTTCCCCTCTATAATTACAAAATCCTCTCCCCTAGTTCTTAGTTATGTTTTAATTTTATGTAGTATTTTGTTTTTGTAAACTGCCCTGGAAGAATATGAATCTTTAAATTAAATAACAACAAATAAATGCCCATGAACAGAAAAAGGCTTAAACTGCAAGGCCAGGAGAATTCAAACTCTTCTTTAAATTGCTTGCAGGCACACATCCGAAACAGATTTCCTCCTTTCTGCAGAGTTAACAATTTAATTCACCCCTCTCTGGTAGCAATCTTGTGCTGGTAGCATTTGTCACTTATCCTCAGGAAGCTGTATTAACAGCCTCAGAACAGGATAAGTTTGAAAATGTTGGAACACACACTTTCCTACAATATTCATGACACACACACGATATATAAGTAAATAAAATACATGCATGCACACACACACATGCCTTCAAAGGGGCAGCACAGAAATTCAGATACAGAAGAAAAATTAAAAAGTGAGGTAATTGCTTTTAAAAGTCAGTCCAGAAGACCCTGCAAACTATTTAAAATATGTTAAGAAAAATATTGGTGTGAAATGCTCTGAGCTAAGCAGTTAAAAGGGTTAACACCCAAAAATAAACAATGTCTTTCCACAGAAACTGCTGTACTCCTGAAGGTTATAATTTTCTTGGAAGACACTCACAGCCTTTGCAACGATGGTGAATCTTCAGTTGGTGCTTAGACTAAATTTGTAGGAGAATGCAGAGCACTCTGTTAAGATATATGCATTTGGCTCTAAAAGATATTGTTTGGCTGTTTCAGGTTAGTTCTTTTAAAACACATTGAAAAAAACACCTCCCGCTATTACCATTTGTGTGGGCAAGTTAGACGAAAACTCAGCGACCCGATTGAACTAAAAGTTAAGTCAGCTTACCTTGAGAATAAAGAAGGATCTGCATTTCTAGGAGAACACACGTAAAAACCTGGATGAGGTTCTCCAAGCCCAATAACTCAAAGGCCTCCCGGAGAGGGTAGTCGGATAGCGGGAGTTCATTAGGCCCAGGCCTCTGGCAAAAGATAGGCTCATAGACCCCGTAGAATTTGAGAGACCTTCCTGGAGGCGGAAGGGGCACTTCATAAAGAATGTTATGGATGTAGCTCTCCAGGGGTAAAGGTGGAGGTTGCTGGGAGGTAACTGCCTTGTAAAGCTGGATGAGGAATTTCTTGCAGGCTTGCATGAAAGGAAGGGGAGCAATGAGGCAAATGCACTTGGAGACATAGAGCGTGTCCCTGTTGATATCGTAGGAGTTGTAGCGCTGCATCTTGGCCAGCGACGTGGAGTCACCTTCGTCGAGGCTGCTTGCCAGGGAGTCCATGCTGCACGACGACGAGGCGCAGACGCTGTTGCATTGCTCTGCGTTGTGCATTTGATAAAGCGTCTGCATAGCTGTGCAAATCTGCTTGCTGGTGACCTCCTCGTAAAAGGTGAGTACGAACCCGTAAGTGCGGGAACCGTCTTCCCGGGTAATGATGAACGAGTGGAACTGGGGGTCTCTGTTATCGGTTTGAGTCCTGAAGGATAGCCCTTTGGGCATACATAACTGCAAGAAGAGTGGGGAGGGGGAACACAGCACATCAGTAGCTCATCTAATTTCACCTGGTATAACCCACAAGGATGTTTCTCTTGTGCAGGCCCCAATGCAATGCCCAGGAGCTCACGCCATTTGTATAATTCCTGTTTGGTTCAAGAGAGCTTTTGCACAGGAGATGCTTCTGGCAGAAGAAGTTGGAGAAAGCTATCTTGTTAAACCAGTTAATTAAAAAAAATCTGCACTCTTGAAAATAAGATTCCCAGCCTCAAGCACAAAAGGGCATTGCCTTTAATTTGTATTTTTTTATGAAGCAAACGGAATGACTTTGCACAATTATACTGCAACGGCCATTTGCCACCGTTCATAAATTCATTTACAGCCTCATGAGTTAAATGTGAGTATCTCCATAAAGCAGCGAACAAGAGCTCCTCTATTTCCTTTGTCAGAATTATGTGGAGTATACATAATTCTTAAAAGGGAGCAAAATTTACTGGTAAAAAAATTAAGCAAGCAAAAGCTGAATTGTTCAAGGAAACTGCAATCAGAAAAATGGAAAACCCAACCAGGATTCCCCATGGAACAAATAGCTGTAGCAACTTTATACAAGTTACAAAGAAATGTATGTTCTTATTAATTTTGGTAGTGGAAGCATAGGTGTAAAGCAGGCATGTCCAAAGTCCATTTCGGGGGCCGAATACAGCCCGCCGGTCGGTTTAATCCGGCCTCTGGCAGTTTATTTCCTGGGGTAAAATCCTAAAAAACCTCAACAACTTCAATCCTAAAAAAAGCCCTTCACTTCATCAAATCTGGCCCTCTTTGAAAAAAGTTTGGACACCACTGACTGTAAAGATAAAGGCAAAGCATAACTGTATTTAGCAGCCAACAAGGTAAAATTCCATTATTCTCATTCAATGCCGCTAGCTACAGAGAACACTAAAATTACTGATTTAACAGATGTGAAATGCAACTCAACCATTGGTACTGGAAGCAGAACAGTGAGACGTACAAGTGTAGATCTAGTATTGTCATCACCGTGAGTCATCCAGACTGGGTCCTCAAAATCCCTTTTACAGTTAATGCATAGAACACTATGGCTATGACTCAGTAGCAGGGTTTAATTTCATTTAACTGATAGCCTGTGTTACAATTTTATGGTTCATGTCAACAAAGGCTATTTCTGGATGGCAGCCACGTATTCATTCAAAAATGTTTCCAGATTGTTAATGCTCACAGAGCAGCATTTTTACCACCACATCCTGCAATCAGAGATTTTCCAGGCTAGATTTAAAACTGAGATTGATTCAACAACAACAAAATACATTTGGGGTATATTGGACAACATCTATGGAAGGAAGCATAAATTTGGAAATGCCTCACTGAGGTATATGATGTGGGCTTGTCTGCCACTTAACGGGAGATTCAAAATATTTATATATAATTTGCGTGTGCCTGGGTGTATGCACGTGAGAAAGAGATCATGTGTAACACAAGCCCTTGTGGGATGTGTACATCCACAGTAAACACACATACAAAATCACAGAACTGTAGAGTTTGGAGGGACTATGAGGATCATCCAGTCCCACCTCCTGCAATGCAGTAATCTTTTGCCCAACGTGGGGCTTGAACCCACAACCCAGAGACTGAGTCTTGTTGGGGATTTAGTATGTGCAAAGCAAGGACTGCCTGTAAGCTAGTGGCCACAATTCAAGGTATTGACAATCATTTATAAAGCCCTAAAGAGCTTGAGGGCACAAGTTCCTGCATGTGCACCTCCTCTAGTGCCAGACAACACAATCCTAATGATGGGGAAGGAATTCTGTTTGTGGTCCTCCTGAGGTATTGTGGTGAGAGGGACTTGCAGAAGGGTCTTGTCACTGTCTAGAGTGAGGAATCAGCTCTTTCTTGTCAAAAGTACACTTACAAGTTAGGAAAATGTGTGTCTATTCATAAACACATGTTTTCATTGATGTTTTTTTCCTGTGAAAATTCTTCGAGATATTATATGGGATGTGGTTCACAAATGGAATCAAACCAAGAAATAATACATTAAATGAACATATATTCATTAGACTGCAATTCTAGCCAATAATATTCTGCCAGTAGGGAGTAGATCAAGCAAGGGTAGTGATTGCGGCAGGATTTACCATTTTTCAGGGCTATGACTTACTCACCCTTACGTTTCCAGGCTCATAGATCCTAAAATAGTCACATAGAAAGGACTTAATACTAATTCCCAGGGTGGGGGTGGGGCATAAGCAAGAAAGGATAAGAAGCAACAGCTTGGGAACATTTACATTTGCCAATGGATAAGGACATGAGTCACCTGGGATTTCCCCCATAATTTAAGTGCAGGACGAAAAGCAGCCATTGCTGTATGTGAGAAAACAGAGGTTTCAATGTGTGTTACATCCTGCATGGTTCAGTACAAATGGAGAGCTGCAGTTTAGTAAAAGGATTCCCCCTTCCTATCTCCTTTTCCATGAACTAGATTTCTCAGAAGCCATTTGCAATCCGTTTAGCATCCAGCAGTCTCAGAAAGTTCCCCCATGGGCTAACCTTCAAAAAAGCTCGTGCATTCGCCTCCAAGGAAGACCACCAATTGCTATTTATATAAAAGGGAGGCAGAAATGCAAGGCAATGACAAAACTAATACTGAAAGAAAAAGAGCAACGAAAGCTAGCAACCGCCTATGGTTATTGTTAGCGGGGGAGAGAGAAATGCTCTCTTAAGTGAGGCTTTTATTCCCCAGCACTTAAAATGACAACAAACAAGATTTGGGGCAGAAGCAGCTCCATAAGGATTATTTATCTTAGCACATTGTTTTCACCCCATCATCATATAAAATGGTGTCATTAATAGGTCAGGAAGTGAAGAAGGCCTAAAGTAGCCTGTTCTGTTTTTGACTTGGTTCTGATGAGGACTGTAGACCTGGGGTAGGCAACCTAAGGCCCGGGGGCCGGATGCAGATCAGCATGTTTTTACATGAGTATAATGTGTGCTTTTATTTAAAATGCATCCCTGGTTTATTTGTGGGGCATAGGAATTCATTCATTTTTTCTCTCCAAAATATAGTCTGGCCCACCACATGGTCTGAGGGACGGTGAACCGGCCCACGGCTGAAAAAGGTTGCTGACCCCTGCTGTAGACCATGGGTAGGCAAACTAAGGCCTGGAGGCTGGATCTGGCCCAATCGCCTTCTCAATCCAGCCAGCGGATGGTCTGGGAATCAGCATGTTTTTACATGAGTAGAATGTGTCCTTTTATTTAAAATACATCTCTGGGTTATTTATATAGTCCGGCCCACCACAAGCTCTGAGGGACAGTGGACCGGCCCCCTGCTGAAAAAGTTTGCAGACCCCTGCTGTAGACCATTCTACACAGAATAAAAACTACACAGTGAACTTCTGTGTTTACATGGGTATTACTGACTGAAGCAAGAATAGGGGAAATGAGCATGAACGTGGTGAACTGAGAGCTTACAGAAGGGGACAACGGGAGGAAGAGAAAACAGGTAAGAGAGGGAAAGAGGCTTGTAAAGTCTGGGGCAGTAGACTGCTTAAGAGTCAGGAGCATAAATAAACAAACCCTGGAGGTTTTTAAGCAGAGGTTGGGCATCATCTGTCATGGATGCTTTCCTGCATTGCAGGGGGTTGGACTAGATAACCCTTGGGTTCCTCCTAACTCTACAATTCTATGATTCTATGGCTGTGCTTGCTGATAAGAGGAGCCTTAACCTTGAAATGTAGATGGGATCACCAGGTGGCTCTGAACACAAGAGGCATGCTGAATTTCTGAATGCATTTGGGACCACAAAGAAGTAAGGGAGGAAGCTTCACAGACAGATTGCTCCGTAATTCCAATAATAAATCCCTTGCCACTATTTTGTACCTAGCTCTAAATTTGGGATCTAGTAAACAAAGCCAATCAGTAGGTTCTGCCAAGCCTGAATTCTGCCCAATACTGCTTTACACAATAGTAATATTCACTGGCAAAACGAGTGTTCCACCAATAACAGTTGACAAAGGATAATCTGAAAATCGTACTCTTTTTGAAAGGAATACTTTCAAGCAGAAAACCGGTTCAGTGTGACAGCCTAAAAGCCAACAAGGAAACTTAAATTCAGCTTAATTTTAGGCAGCAATCTTATGCACGTTTACTTGGAAATTAAGCTTCATGGAACTCAGTGGGTCTCGGTGCATTAAAAAAAAAGGGGGGGGGACTGCAAGTTGATATGCAGCCTTAAACAATCACTACACCAAAATCCTACGCTGCTACTTTCCCCCAGCCTACTTTTCACACTGTGGCAGAAGGAGATAGGAAGAGAGGAAGGCTGAAGCATGCAAGAGAAACCAGCCTTCCTATAGAGATGGGGGAAATAATGGAAGGAGGAGCCCTCTCTTTGGAAGGAGTCTTCTCTACATACCATGTTGACTGCATCTTGATCAAAGGGGTTCCACTCTATGTTCTGGGGATAGTGAGCCAAGACTTTGGACTTGAAAGTTCTTCTTAAGGGGCTCTGGTCAAAGTTTTCTCCTGTAACAAAAAAAAAGCCACAATAGTTACAACAACTGGTTTGCAAGACATCTGGCCCGCTCAACATCTGATCAAAGAAGAAAATGCAGAGGGAAAGGACATGCATGTTTTTACTTCATCGGCTTTTAGAAAAGGAAGGTCTAGGACGTGCACAAGATGCATTCAGCCGTTTCTTCCTTCAGTTAACTTGGCTCTGTAATTTGAACTGATGTGGGTGCATTTTAAAGCTACTAAAAGCAGCGCTGAAAACTCACAATCATCATTAGGGGCTGCTGTAGAATGGCTGTGAGCCAAACTGGCAACTTAATACTCTTGCCCAAGTTTAATGTATTCAGTCTAATCTCCGGCATAGTGGCGAAAAGATCAGCGGAAGAAGGGCGACACATGAACTTGCATGGCATACAACAGTGTCTGCAATAAGAAACAAATGTGAAAAAATGTGATCCAGGGATCAGCTCCCTATCACCATGGGAGGAATGCTCTCATGTTTGTCTACTTAAGAAAAAGCTGGTAGAAAGGTCCACTGAGGGACTCCAAAAACTCCTGCTCAATGAGACCTAGAAGTTTCAGCATCTCTACAAAGGGCCAGAACAGACACCATGTTAACTGCATCTATGCACTGACCATGCAGCCCTGTTGTTTTTAATGCAGAAAAGCATCAGGGAAAGGGGTTGAAAAGTATTAGGATCCTAGCAAGCAGCCAAGGTGATTTACCAGTAAACCCAGGAAATGCCCCATTGGCACCATTAGGGAGGAAAGCATTGAATTCTCTCTAGCCACGTGGTAGGATTGTGATAATTATCAGCCCACCACAAGCAGATGCTATTTGCACTTCTGAAAACCTCCATGTTGAACACTGTAATGCCTAACAGGTATGGCGTCACCAGAGTTCTCTAGCAAAAGCGCAACTGAATAGAAGTTGAACAAAGAGACCACAGCTCATTTCAACTTGGCTTGCATGGGAGACTTGCCTATGGTGGTGTGCTTTATGCCACCTGCTTCACGTGGCAAAATATTTCAGGCTGGGCCCAGACAGTGATAGCACCAAACCTCAGGAGATGGGAACTTCAGAAAGTCAAAGTGAACCCACTACATTCTTCTTGGTTGAGAAACAAGGCAAAGGGCATTCAATTTAGCACCATCAGTTTCCGTGCTGGCCCCTCATTCCCCACCCACCCCAAAAGTATAGCACAATACAGTAGTAGTAGTAGTAGTAGTAGTAGTAGTAATATTTATACCTTGCCCACCTGACTTAGTTTCCCCAGCCACTCTAGGGGCTTACAGCACATATAAAAACATAGTAAAACATCAAACATTAAAACTTCCTGATACAGGGCTGCCTTCAGATGTCTTCTAAAAGTTGTGCAATTCTTTATTTCCTTGACATCTGAAGGGAGGGTGTTCCACAGGGAGGATGCCACTACCAAGAAGGCCCTCTACGTAACTTTGCTTCTCTCAGTGAGGGAACCAGCAGAAGACCCTTGGAGGAGGACCTCCGTGTCTGGGCTGAGTGATGGGGGTGGAGACGCTCCTTCAGGTATACTGGACCGAGGCCGTTTAGGGCTTTAAAGGTCAGCACCAACACTTTTAATTGTGCTCAGAATCGTGCTGGGAGCCAGTGAAGATCCTTTAGGACCAGTGTTATATGGTCCTGGTGGATTCCCCCCCCCCCGCTAGTGGACTAGTGGAACAGATTTCTACTGTGCAACGGAGCTTACCCTTCCCCTGCTTTAAAGGGTTGGGTTGATGGCAAGACCCTAAATTAACTTCTGTGCCCAGTCCCAGCTGCCTGGGACTGATGGGAATTGGGAGTCCCACAACATCTGTAGGTTCCCCATCTCCAAGAGCTGCAAGTTCCCCATCCCTACTATAAAATGCTAGATAGAAAACAACAAATACTTGTTATCACCTACAAGAAAGATACTACAGTAGGTTCTGTTGGGGTAGTTCCACATTTCTTCAGGAGTACCTAAGTCTATCTCAGAATCCTCGTGCATAATAAAAACTACATAAAAAATGCACCTGAGACATAAGGCACACTCAAGCCCCATAGCTCATGTGGCTAAACTTCAGCTACCCAGAAGCTGTTATCACTCCAACTCCCATCAGCCCCAGCCAATATGGCCAATGGGAAGGGAAGATGGGAACTGTAGTCTAGCAACTTCTAATAAACCATACCTGCCCTTACAGAATGGCCTGTCGTTAACTGCTGAACTTCTCACTCAACTCAGCAAGGTACAATCTGCTGGTTAGGATCATTTTGAAACTTTACACAGAAGCAAGCCAATGTTTATCTTGTAATACACTTGTGCCAGGGGAAGGCTGTAATTTAATATATTATAATAATTTATTATTCATACCCCGCCCATCCGTCTGGGTTTCCCCAGCCACTCTGGGCAGCTCCCAACAGAATATTAAAAATACAATAAAACAGCTTCCCATCTAGCAAAGATGTACAATAAACACATCTCCAGCTATGAGTCTCATCAAATTCACCACTTTCATTTTTTCAGCAATATATCTGTTTAGGATATACACCTAAAAGATTAATACAGTAAACATATTTTAAGACTCATAAAAGCCATTCTCAGTTTGTTATTTTCCCAGAACATATACACATATACATTTACATACATTTTCCTGTCTCTGCTTTAAATTGGACAAAAATGTCCTGCTCATCCCCATTTGGTTTTTAGAAAAAATAATAGCTACTAACACAAAAAGATGAAATGTGTAGTGAGGTCCAGTTTTGAAAAGCAATTGCAAAGGAGGGCTAAATACAACACAACACAGAGAAATACACATGTGTATACAGGCTGCCAATCAAAGAACTGAAAACGCTGCAACAAATGGTGCAGATTACTGCTTGTTGTAGAGCAACATTGTATAGTTATGTAGACTTATCTGCTTGGTGCATATGTTGTGGTGTAGGGCAGCCAGTGCTTTGAAGTTTGGAAAACTCATATGAGAATTGCTCCATCACCTTCATAGCAATAAATATGGATCTTGGTGTCTAATATATAATTGTAGGTTTTTCTAGGTACTTGAGACATGCACATTTTGAAATTTTAAAGATAAAAAAAATTCATTTTGCTGGATAACTATCACTGGAATTAATTACTTTCTCAGCTGAAAAAATTATAATCCACAAAGCCAAACCCTGAGAAGAGTTCCAGTAGTTCTACTTTTGCTTACTTTGTACTGCAAAAATAAAGACGTTTTCAAGCACCTGCAAAGGTGAGGGATGCATGTCTTGGGGGTGTCATAAGTTAATAATTATAAGATTAACTTATAAACTGCACTAGCTCAGTAACTTATTTTAATTCACATTTGGCAAGATGCAGGAAATGAAAAACTATTCGTCAAAAGCAAGTCTGAATGCACTCATTGGGACTACCTGGCTAGATAACTGTGCACAGGATTGCAGCCATGCACTCAAACTCATATTCTGAAATACAGAAAATGGTGCAATTTATTTGCTTTCTAAGCCTTTGCAAATATTGTTGTGTCCCACTCACACTCATTCTAAAATCCCATAATAGGCAGTATTATGGCAGTAAGCCTTTACGTCCTAATCCAAGAGAGAACTACTATAATAAATTACCATTGCAGTGGCACTCTGTGAGTGATATGCAAACTAATGGGAATTGCAGAGCATAAAACAATAAGATGATTTCACCCAACGCAGACCTGCAACAGGGATAGAAATTATTGAAGAAATAATAATGCGTGTGATGCAATAAAGTTGTATTTTATTAATCTGTTCCCATTTTTTCCTCATGAATATATGAAGATAAAGCTGAAGGGAAAACTCTACTAAAAATGAGACTCTAGAAAACAGAACTGTGAATGTCTGACAATATATATCATACAGTATGTTTTATTACAAGCTCTGTGTTGTGGATTCTCCTATTTAGAAGTCTCAAATGTTGCAAAATTAGACTAACAATAAAGGTAAATACTGGCTTACAAGTGTAACATTTCATTTTTTTGAGTGTCCTTTAAAGTTTCATCAAGGATGAATGGAGATTTGCACACATTACTATGGTCCAAGTCCAACACTTTTAGGCACTGTGCTACACTAGCTTTCAAGTCAGATTTCATTGTTAAAGTAAGACTTTCCTAGATGCAACATACTTGTTACTGTTAGTAAGCATCCACCTTCTGAACTTATTCTTCCATGCATTAAGGACACATGGAGGGGGGAGCCCTCATGCCCTGGCTCCAGTGTCCTCGTGGGACCCACCCTGACCATCACATGCTAAGCAAAAGGTCTGAAGGGGAAACCGACCCATGTTTGCCTGAGCACACAAACATAGGCTTCTCTGTGTGCTCAGGAACCAATGTGGAAGAACCTCCTTGTATTCAGCTGAATGTGCATATATTTTATTCATCCTTCTGAAGGGGGCTGGTGGGCAGGAACTTTGTGCAGCCATAAGTCATTCCCACTGCAAAATACTGCAAGATCATCATTTATTTAAAGACTCCGATGCCAATATGAAAGTTTGGTATGTGCAGGGGGTATGAAAAGAACATTATGTCCTATGTGCACGTCGGGCTCCTCTTTTCTGCATAGTGAGCATTCCCCAAGACCCTGTCTTTTGGGCCAGCCATTGTCTTCTAGCCTAACTTACCTCCCAGTGTTGTTTTGAGGTTAAAATGAGAAGGGAGAAAACCAGGTATACTACCTCAAGCTCCTTGGAGGAAAGAAAGGATGTAAATGCAAGAATGAACAAAATAAACATTTATAATTGGCTAACTCGTTTCTCTTGTCTGCATGCAAAATCTAGGGCAATTTAGGCTTACAAATGTGTAACTAAATGTTATGGATGCTGCTGTTAAATTAGCACCTCTCTGTTTTATATGGAGAGCTAAGTGGTCTCCATTAAGCTGTAAATTAAAGTTGCATCATATAGTGTTCTTAGATAAGTAGCCAACAGTGCTTCAAGAATATTGCAGACAATATATTTATTAGGATTAAAATATGCTTAACATTAAAATATTTCACTTTTAAAATATTTCACTTTTCCCAAAAACAAATGGGTTTGAAAATCTACTGGGAACCTGGACATTGGGAGTATTTGAAATGCGTAATCAGTGCAGGAATAGGATGCCGATTAAAAGCAGCAAACCCTTCTAGTCCACTTATCAGACTCCAACACTCTCAGTTATAGCTAGTTACGAATTCTGTTGAAGTGCCTTTGCCACATATAAGATGTTTTTATATCTCTGCCTGCCTTAGGGAGATTCTACAGGACTTGTATGTCATGGCAGCCATCTCTGTCAGCTGACAATTCTAATTAAATTGTTTCAGCGTATCCTGGTGAATCTACTTTCTCTCAATGGATTTACCCTTTCACTACCGTAAACTTTTGGGCTACATAAAAACACAGCAAAGAGTATTCAGTGGAGGCCTAGACAAACCAAGTTCTCTCATTTTTTCATGACAGTGCTCTCCACTTACTTTGTCTGTATCTTATCGCAAATATCCGGATAACCAGCTTTATCGTTTCTTCTTGTGAGTGTAACATTATATGCCAACCTTAGTTTGGGTTTAGTTTAGTTTTCCATGTGTTTGTTTTACGGAAGTTCTATTTTGTTATTTGGGTTATACAGATAAAAGTACAATAATATTTAAACAAGGAAGAAGAAAAGGAACAAACCATGATTTGCTGTTACAAGAATGAATCGCAGCTCTCGCATCCTTTCCTCTTTCACTTACAATAAGTGGAGATCAGAAACATCTGACTAGCTCCATTCCTCCGTCCTCCCATACTAACACCTGAAACAGCTAGAAAGCATGACTCCTATCACACACACTGAAAATGTGGCTCTGCAAATCTGCCTGGAAGTGATGGGCTATGATGACACGCTGCCAGTTTTGGGATGATTCTACAGGGGGGAACATGGCTGCCTCCAGAGAACCATGGGGGCAGCCATGTTTCCATGTTTGCCCTCAGACCTCCTCACATGGCATTTGGCAGAAGTGTTGATTCTGAAGCAGCCCACATATCTGACCTACGGTCTAGTCTGGTTATTGCTAATTAGTATTTAAATCTTTTTTTAAAAAGGAAATATGGCAAGTTTTTCAATACAGCATATAATTTTGCATTGTTTGCTGCCTTGGAAACAGTACTGTTTTATAGCTGTCATCAGTGCAGGACTTTGGGGTGGGGTTGGGGAGACTTCCAGGGTCCCACTTGGCAGAATGGGCAAGAGGTTACTCAAACACAACAGGGCTGGCTTAGTGCAGTAAGGGGGCAGGTGGAAGACCATCAAGTCTGGAGTCTAAAGTTATTACTGCAGACCATTCCTTAGGAACTGTGAGAGCAATTTCCATCTCCCCCGGTTCCCCCCTCCCAGTAGCTGGCATGCCATCTCTGTTCCAGAAGATAAAACATTACTTTATGCACCTTACATCCTCCCACAAGAACTTGCCTATAAACTCAGATGCTTGCCTAAAGGGCTCTTTTCCAGATTCCACTACTGTCAGCGAGGCAGGTGGCAACTGGAGATGTGACCTTTCCTTTGATGGTGCCCCAAGTTTAGCAACTCTTCGCCCGGAGAGGTACACCTGGTACCAAAATCTGTAATCTTTTTGGTACCAGAATTTTGGGGGGTGGGGAATCTTGATTCAATTTCTATCTAGTCAGGCAACTGTTGTTCTGCTAGAACTGATGCTGCTCTTAATTCAATGCTGTTTTCAGTTTTTTTGCACTGAAAGCCACTCTGGGAACTTGTGTTGAAGGTAGGAGGACAGTATTAAAGCAAAACAAACTTGTTATGACCTTTCACAGGAATTCCTAAAAATTATTCAGGGTAGCTGTAGGGGACATTTCCAGACCGAAGAAAAAGATTGTCTTCTTCTGGCATATAACATCTGCCATACAGGGTGGTGGGAGGGGAAATAATAGATTTATTGATTATTGATTACAAGGAATCAATCAAGATCGAACCAATCAAAGGAAGAGTATTCAATTGAATTTAAAGTGCAAGATGGATGTGATTACAGGAAATCTGGAGATTAAATTAGTAAGCATCCGCCATCTTTTTCTTTTTTTTTACCTGATGTTCTGTTTGCTGTATCTGAGCTCCTGCCATGACGATCGGCTTCTAGCCACTGGTATAAGACTACATAACATAACAGAAACAAAAAGCACGTATGAACAAAATGAACAGAAAGTGCAGACACACACAAAAACATGGTTAAGAAAAGGAGACATGCACCATGAAGTAGCAATATTTCCTTCCGCTGCTTCTGACCAGAAAGCAAAAGAATGGAACAATGCATGTTAAGACGGACACACACACACACACACACACACATATCCACACAAAGCTCAGCCCACCAGGAAAGTCTCCTGCAGGAACCCAATTGAGACAAACAATAGGTGTTTTTTAAAATGTGCTCAATCACTTCAAATTTGTGCTGCTTTTCCAAATGGGCTGTGCATTGTCTGTGATAGTAAACAGCAATGGAGCACACTAGGGGGTAGTTCAGATATCGCTGCCTCCACACGAGCATCATTGAAGGGGAAGCATTCTATAAAGTTTAAGCAAGTGATCCTTAATCTGTGTTCTAAGAGGTTACAGTGCAGTGCAGTACAGTACAGTTTAGAAGTTAATGCTAGAAGTATGTCAGCAGCCACCCATGAGGCACTGATTCGCCATCCCTACCAATGTACAGAATAGTGACATCATCCACAGCAGGGATTCAAAGCCTGCGGTCCTCCAAATGTTGCCAGACTACAATTACCATCGCCACTGGCCCTGCTGGCTGAGGATGATGGGAGATGTAGTCCAACAACACGTGGCGGGCTACACACTCTCTATGCCTGGACGAAAGGGACACCTACTATGAGAAAGGTACTATGGCAATCAAACTACCATGTAGTGGCCAAAAATACCCTGGGAATATTTACTTACGTACAGCATTTGGCCAGAACATGGGAAAGCCATTTCAGGATTGAGTGTCCAGGTGTTGTTGGAGCACAACTCTAATCACCCATGAATATTTCCCATGCTGGCTAGACCTGGTGGGAGTCTGGAAATCTAAAGGTTCCCTGACCTTGCGAGAAAATAAGGAAGTGCAAGGATTCCCCAAGGCAGCATTCCCTGCAGCCCCAAATGTGTGGAGGGTGGGACGGTTCTCCATCCCTGGGGCCTGAATGACAGGGTTAAACAGAAGGGCTGGATGCCAGGAGGCAGCATTAACTGGGTGATCTCAAAATTGGAGGATGCCTGCCCATTGTTCTGGAAGCTGGCAATTGGATGGTGCTTGGAAGTAAGTATTAAAAGCAACACTCTCAACATGTGTGGGTTGCCACCATGGGCAACGCCAACACCTGAACTGCCCCATCTACAAACAAAATATGAGATGTTAAAATCAGCAATGAAAGGGAATTAGTATTTTAGAACAAGGAAAGCTTCTACATGTAATGCCACTCTCTCTCCCCCTTTTTGGTATTTATTCAATTTTTCAATAACAAGAAACCAAACAAAGAAAACACAAAACATAATCACATGGCTGACAGGCAGGGATTACGGGAGTTGGGCTCCTGGTTTCTCAACCCCGCCATATACAGTGTTAGGCTAGTTGGACCAATTGCACGATTCCATACAGGCCATCTTTACATGAAAATTGAGTAATCTGAGAACCAGAGGTTCCATTTGGGGGGAAAGTTTCTAGTTCGCAACAGCAGCAAAAAGACGTAGCCATGAAAATTTGAGGGCAAAGCCCAGTAAAACCTGAGAAACAGAGCATTATATTTTCCGTGGTCAGAGACAGAGCTTCAGCACCTACTGCAGCATTTTGCTCCTCGCCACAACTGGCAGAAATGGAACGCACTACCTGTACTAAAGATGTGGGTTAAGCTAGGAGAAATATGCATAATTTTAGACACATTGCCAACTCAACCTCTCTTTGGTATACGATTTGTGTTTACTATGGCGCTAAGTTCTGACAGAAATTTAAGCAGCCCACGAGATTTGCACATCTTTGCAGCAACCTGAAACCACCTGCTTAGAATGGATGGGATGTGGGTGTCTGATTCTCGCATCCAATGAAATGTGGGCTTGTTGAAGGGGGCACGTTCAGTGTAGGAGAGGCTGAGCCAACGTAAACAGTCTCTTGTGAATTCCAGATTTTTTGAGATGATGCTTACAGAGACCTTTTGTTTCAGTGGTACTTGGTGGGCAAATAGGCACCCCCTTTTAAAATAAATTGTCCCTTTCCTTCAGAATTATAAAAAAAAATACTCCTTGATTTGATTATGTAATATGAACACTTAAAATTTAAAGGTCAAGTTTATTGGCTAGAGCCAGACTAATCATTTGGGCAGCCCTTTTTAATTCATTTCATGTTTTTAAAACTAGAGATCATCTGCTCTGCAAAAAAGACAGAAAAGTGAGAGAGAGACAAAACAGGTTGAACACTTAGAAGTGTCAAACTGCACTGCTGACAGAAATGAATACACGAGCAGTATACTAATGGTGCTATAACGACAGACAAAAATGGTTGTGTTTATATGGCCTCCGAGATCTCATTACCGCAAGCCATTCCTCTTTGATTAGCTTCTACACAGAACCGAGGCAGGCACAGGCAAGACCTACAAATACACTTAGGAACAAGACACCCAAATATTTTCAAATAAAGCTCCTTCATTCATTCCCCAAGAGCTTGGTTATATCAAATGTTGGTCTACTGGGCTTATAAATAAGGGGCTGCCCCATTCTGCTATGAAGTATTCATGCACTTAACGCAAGGAGTTCGCTGTGATTGTTTGAGTCTACAAGTTATGCAAATCCCTGAAGTAAACTGATCAGCAAGACCCATTAAAATGAATATTAATTCACAGAGCACAATAAAACTCTTCATATTTTGATTCGCTGGGTCTATAACACAATTCACAGAGCACATGAAATCCTTTTCAAATTACTCTCCGTGTGTGTGTTTTGTCTCCAGCAGAGAATAATTTGACTGCTTTAAACAACAGCTTTTCAAAAATACAATCTGAGAAAGGGTGTTTTATTCTAGACTTCCTTCCCATCCTCCACCTCCTGACCTCAATTGAAGGATCTCCACTGTCTGCCTGGAGAGTAACGCTATACCAACCAACAGCTTTGGTTTCTTAATATAGCTACACATCCAAATGCCAGCAGAATAACAAAGACATTCAGGGGGGGGGCAGTGTTGCAATCTGAAAGGTAGACCAACCCTTAAGATTCCGGCTGAACAATATTCAAGTGAAAGCCACACACAAGCACAAACAACACGGCTGCTTGCAGAATAGAGACCCAACATACATAAACTGCGCTTTGCCTTGAGGAACTAAAAGCTCAATTACAGTTCGTATCATATGCATAATTTTCAGAGATACGATCACTTCCACTTCATGCATATATTGGCTTCAACGCCCCACCCCCCCACTGCATTTCGACTGCTAGCTGCAAGCTATTTTATAATACTCTTGGCACATGCAAGGCTTATACCAAAAGGCACCAGTGAGCAGGTGCAGAACTGGCATTTTCAGAATTCTAAGCATGGGAGAGAGCAATTTTCTTTCCGCCCCGAGCCTCTCTTTTCTCCACGCCAAACACGCATGGAATTGAGACATTTCCTTTCTGTTGCCTCTCTGTCCTAGCATTCTAAGCATAGGATTGCTAACGTTTTATTTAAGGCACACCCACGGAGTGAAGCTTCGATACAGCACACATACCCATTAAAAGAGACAGCACTGTCACCCTTGCAAGAAGGCAAGTTCGTGAGGGATGATCACCTGGAAAAAACCCGAAGTTAATCTTATTATCTTGTATCATAGGAAACAAGGAATGGACACGGGCAGGCTGCCTTAAACCAGACCAAACTGTTGGTCCATTTAGTGCAGTATTGTCGACACTGACTGGCAGCAGCGCTCCAGGGTTTCAGGCACAATCTCTGCCAGCCCTTCTGCATGCAAAGCAGATGCTCCCCCACCAAGCTACAGCCTTCCCCCATCCCTACCTAGAATTGCCAAGTAATGAACCTGCAATCTTTTGCATGCACAGTTAATTCAGAAGAACTATACAGCTATGAGTCAACAGCAGGGTTTAATTTCATTTAACTGATTGTCTTTGTTGACATGAACCATAAAATTGCAGCACAGGCCATTTCTGGACGCCTGCCATAAATCCATTCAAAATGTTTCCAGACTGTTAATGCTCACAGTGGTGGCCTTTTTATCACCACCACCTCCAAGTGGAGATTTTTCCAATCCAAGAATGACACTAGCTTTTATGAGGCTGCCATCAACACATCTCCTCTGGCTGACCTATGACCTAATCCCCCAAAGCCTGATTCTGCCTTTCCTCCTGGGGGGCTCAGCGTGATCACATCTGGCTCCCCTCGTTATCTTCACAGTAAGGCAAGAGGTAGCTTGAGGCTAAGAAGGATCCCAACTCTGTCGGAGGCAACCTAATGTGCTTCGAAGCAGAGAATGGATCTGTAAACAGATCTCAAACATAAATGCAAGGATTTGAAGTCCAGGTCCAGCACCGTTTCACAACACCACCCACTGCCCCCCTCAAACCAGTGGCGTAGCGTGGGGGGTGCTGGGGGGGCCGGCCGCACCGGACGCAACATCTGGGGGTTAGGGTTAGGGGGCGCAAATCCACGGGTTAGGGGGCGCAAATTACTTGCCTTGCCCCAGGTGCTGACAACCCACGCTACGCCACTGCCTCAAACCCTAATACAGTGGTACCTCGGGTTAAGTACTTAATTCGTTCCGGAGGTCCGTTCTTAACCTGAAACTGTTCTTAACCTGAAGCACCACTTTAGCTAATGGGGCCTCCTGCTGCCGCCGTGCTGCTGGACCACGATTTCTGTTCTTATCCTGAAGCAAAGTTCTTAACCCGAGGTAATATTTCTGGGTTAGCGGAGTCTGTAACCTGAAGCGTATGTAACCCGAGGTACCACTGTATAACAGGCTTGAGAAACTTGCTTATATTGTCACACCCAAACTAGCCATATATTCTGTTTTCCGTTTATGACTAGACAAAAGCCACAGAGGAAATTTGGAAGTGGGAGACAAAAGATACTATCTATCACCATTGGTAATCCTAGCACCTACATAAGCAGTTCAGGTACATGATGT